AGCCCGCAGCCCATACCAGGGGGGTTTCCGGCCAAAGCGAGGCACTATTCACAACCTGTTCCTGGTACGCCATCTTACTGATCGATGCCGTCGGGACCTTCCCAACACGCCGGGTCAAGCGCTCTTCGTCTGCCAGATTGACTTCGAAAAGGCTTTTGATCGGGTGAAACGGGAGCTGCTTTGGGCTCGCCTTGAGGAGAGAGGGGTTACAGGGTCAGCGTTGGATGCCCTGAAGCGATGCTATGAGCGGGTGGAAATGAGGGTTAAAGTAAATGGCTGCACGGGAGAAGAAGATTTCATGTCCACGCAGGGGGGGAAGCAGGGCTGCCCACTGAGCCCCACGCTTTTTGGTTTCTTTGTGGAGGGCTTCGCGGATTACGTTGATGCCTTAGATGTCGCGCTCCCCGAGGCCATGGCAGTCCTTGATAGTCCCAACGTAGAAGGACGTCGGGTGCCTCTAGCGCTGTACGCAGACGATCTGAGCCTCTATGCGAAGTCTTTGCGGAGATTAATGAGCTTACTCAGGGCACTGCGGGAATGGTCAGAAGCGTTTGGGCTCACTGTCAACGCACGGAAGTGCGAGCTTCTTTTCTTTCATCCCAGCGACCGAGTAAGAAGGCAGGTGTATGCCCTCAGCTCCCACAATTTAGTCACTATGCGTGGGCTGGAGGAGGGGTTACCAGTGTACAGGCCGATCACGTGGAAGGTGCGAGCGCGCTACCTTGGGCTCGATTTCGGCCCCGACTCACCTTTCGTCTCTTGCACGGATGAGCTTTTCTCGGCGGGTCAACGAGCTATGTTTGCTTTGTGCAATAATTTGCGCCGCCAGGGGCTATTACTGCCCAACGTTGGCATTAAGTGTTTCAATGCACAAGTGCGCTCTGTGTTGTCGTACGGTTCTCAGATGTGGGGTGCGGAGCAGGTGTTGGCGTTGCTAGACAAGGGCTACCCAGCCAATGAAGCCCCGCGCTCTTGCTACTTCGATGTGGCCGTCCGGGATCGGATGGTTAAGCTCCAGATTTGGTTTATGAAGCAGCTGGTGGGGGCTTCCGTACCTCCCCTCCAGCTTTTATTCAGGGAACTAGGGCAGTCGCCGCTGCAGGTACACTGGGCTGAATCGGTCTTTCGTTTTTGGAATAGTTTGGTAGAGGTCACTAGCAACATATACCACAGCGCCTTTCGCCCAGAAATACGGCTGGCTTTAGAAACGGATTTGCAGTACGACGGCTGGGGGTCCAAGGTCATTCGCATCCTCAATTACTTGGGTCACGATTGGGGTGACGAGGCGGCGGCGGGAAGTATTGACGCGAGGGTTAGGCGTTACTGGGCCTGCTTGCTTGATGTCGAGGCGTTGATGGACACTTTTAGGAGTCGCATCAACGATGACTGGGTGAGCGATAGGCTCAACACAGACCCTAGATCCTTCGCCACGGACGGTAGGAAGCCCGGCGTTAAGATGTGTCGTCACAAGCACTGGATGGGTTCGCCCAAGGTATTTGAGGGCTACATGCCCCCCGCGCACCTTCGCACCCTACTTCGTTTTCGGTTGTGCGTCTCTGGTCTGGCGGTTAACAGTGAGAGCTCCAGATCTAGGGAGCAACGGGTGTGCTGTGTGTGCAGTTCCAACGGTGTCGTCGAGGATGAGAGGCACTTTTTGCTGGAGTGCCCTGCGCTTGCCACGGCGCGGCAGGGACTCTGGGACCTCGGTGTCCCCGTCGGCGCGTCTGTTCACGATGTCATGCAAGTGGATGATCAGCGTGGTCTTGCGAAAATTATTTTCGGCATGTTTCGTTTACGACAGGAGAACTTAGCATCTTAGGTGTAGTGCAGCAGAGGTTACTGAGAGGGGAAGTTTGCCGCGAGATGCTAGCAGTCGCTTTTATTAGTGGAGGTGATGCAAATAGACTTTAGTCTCATTTTTTTACGATCTTTCTGTTAGTGCTTTGGTTTTCTAATATCTTCGGTGCAGTCGAAGCGGTTCATGAGCCTTCGGGTTCGTCTGAGCCGTACAAGCTCACTGAACTGAAGCTTGTAACATCCATCCATCCATGAAATAGGGGGGTCCTTGTGAAGCAGCTGCCCGCGTTTCCAAAGCACGTATGGTGTTGGATTGTAAGGTGCCCAAGTACGTTTGCGAGGAAGAGAATGTGGCCAGGCTGGAGAGGAAAGTGCAGTGGCATATTGGAATGTGAGATTAGCGTAAGCGAGTTACAGGGCGTTTGGCGCACGGGCGAATTTACGTGCATACCTTTCACCGTAGCATCAGTCCTCAGTTCACTTCTTGGAACGAACATCAGCATAGGTCCAAGCCCTCTCGCTTGGAGGGATATGCAAACAAACATCCTGATAGGGGTAAACTCGCACGCTACCGAGCATTCAACCGAGCACATGCATGCTTAGTTGAATGGTGAGATGCGACCCCCCCATCATTTCGTGCTCGGCAAGCCTGCCACCGCGCACCGGATATGTTGGCGATGTTACAGAGACGCTGCACCTTGGTTTCTGTGCGCAATGCATACGATGCTCGAACCCGCCGACCAAAACTGCACGTGCCCAACTGAAGACATTCCCGGTGGTTGTGCAGCAGCTCTTGAGGCTGTTGCTGGCTGAAATCCATCCTGAGCTGTTGCAACACGGCTAACGCGGGCACGTCCCTATGCACAGCAAGTAGCTGTTCCAAGCCAACAGCGCCGTCCATGTCACCGACAAGGCTCTAAACGTCTTATCTGTTCTTATGTTTAATTAAGTTGATGTATGTTATACTTTGCGCAACTTTGTAATTTGACTTTACTCTGAACAAGGTGCTGTATACGTTGCACTACCAAAAACGCGACCGTTTGCTTGCACACAACTGCCTCTTCGCCAGACGCTTCCTCTTCCCGCGGCAGTTTCACGAGCCCAGTCTTGCAAGCTACGACGTAGGCTTTCGGTGCTTTCAGTTACTGCAAAGCAGCCACGCAATAGACTAGGCTGCATGCCGCGTGCGACTATGGCCATCGTGCCCACCTGCGCAACGCGCTGGCGCACCTCGTCCTTTTCCGCCAAGAAAATTTATATACACCTGTACAGGAGCATTTTGCGAATCGCACGCGCGCATCCGCGCGTTAAAATTCGCTCCTGACTTTTGGGGCGACATGTACGAACTGTTTATTCGGCACAGTACGACCGGACACATTTGTGCGAGGGGCTGCTTAAACAGGCGCCAGTCAGTTCATTTTAGCTTATAACACTGAAGTTAAAGATACAAGCTTATTACAACTCTAGGACGATGGTGTAGGCTTGGGAGATGTCAAAAACCTTTCACAACGGGCCTTTCGAAACTGGCTTGTTATGCCTTGACTGTTTCAGCACTTTTACGTTGCTGAGTTAAATCTAGCTACGTTTCGTCCTGTCAAGCTCAATTGGCGCGACATCGCGTATCTGGGGCGTCATCAGTTGACATTGCCGGAAGTCCGGGTACAAATACCCGACGAATGCTGCGCAGGATGCATAAATTGGTCACTCTAAGCTTCATGTGTTCTGTCATTAGGGTCCTCTATTAAGAGCTTTACTTGCGGCTGTCAAGATGCTTGCGACATACATACGGTTTTGGGGGCTTCCTGCACCGATTTTTGGTTTGCACCTTGATAGGCTACACGCGTTGAGGCACACCAAAGGGCTTCGAGGTCAAGCCTTCGGGTCAATCGGCGATAAGCGGTTTTTCAGTAACATTGCATACCTCGTGGTAGCACTTTGTGCGCGCCCACCATTTTACTGACCGGTGGTTGGCACGGACAGGGTGCAATTCCTATGTCATGGGAAAACATGCAAGCCATATTATATCCGTAACGTATTTCATTAGCTCTTAAATTTATGTGACGCGGGGAATTGCGACAACAAAGCGCAATCGAATCGACAAATTACTATGCGAAAGATAGGCGTAATGCAATCAATGTTTAGGATCTGTAAAATTTATTTCTTCCAGGATAAACGTCGGATCTTTGTAGCAGCCCACTGTAATTGCAGTACTATGCATGTGCTCAACCGCTCAATCCGGCATTATTGCCCACGAAATCTGTCCCGTTCAGAGATTGACAGCTTGGTGGCCATTTAACGCCATACTGCCTCACGATAGCTGGCGGCTGCGCAAGTCGAGTCACATGAGAACGAAAAGTCAAAGGTTATGGGACGCTCACGTTGACCAACAGTGAGTCAAATCAATTCCCGCCAGTCAACGCGGACTGTTTGACCATGCGTTGACCACTTGACGTAATGCGTTGACCGAAGTGCAGCGGTAATGGTAGCACTCTGCAGCTGCCTGTAATGTGTGACCTTCTGGAAGCTCCATGACGGTTAATTTCGTTTTAATAATGGTTACACGGCACGAATCGTTTTTGTTCTTTCCTGCTTTGACAGCTGTCACGTGCACTGAGTGCAGCAGGAAACACTAAAAAACTTCGACGCCAGGTGCTCGCGAAAAGTGCTCCGAAGCCATTGATACTTGCGTCGAACAACAAACACTTCCGACGATTTGCTACGTGGCTGGCGGACGTTGACTCGCGCTAATCCCCACAGCTTCCATGAAGTAGTAGCGTTTTGTTTTCGGTTTGTTTGCTACGGTGTTATGACATGCGGTCATGTTTGCAATATGTAAGATCAGGTGCAGACTGCAGAGCTAAGGGCCGACGGCATCATGTCTTAATACTTCACCATCCTCCATTCCACATTTGCATATAAAACCGAAGTTCGCCCACAAAGTTTCAGAGCTACTAAATTCGCTGAATTCGTCCAGATGACTAGAGCATGTTATAATCGAAGGTGCAAGGAACCGCCAGCACAAATCCTACATTTCATACGTTTTTTTAGGTTTTGTTATTTGCTTGCACGTTCATGGGGGTTGCGCAGCGAGAACCCAGCCATAGGTGGAATGCGCAGCTCGGTCCCTTTCCTCTGGAAGCCATTGAATGGCCACCAACTTGGCACCACGCAAGTATGCAGTTAGGTTGGCGAGGTTCCTGACTTCAGCGCGAAGATGCCAGCGGTCCTGCACCAGGGCTACTGTGTGTGTGTGTGCGTGTTACATGGTTGGTGGGTGCGTGACCCCATACCTGTAAAACTACCCATACGAGCCAAAGGCCCAAGGGCAATATCTATACGCCTAAAAGCCACGGAGAACAGGGCTACTGACATACCATACTTGTGTTTGGTACGGCACCACCAGCCTTAGGAGTTTTCGAGGTGGGTCTGAGAAGCTGGTCATCTGTTATCATTTTGAACAATTTTGCGAACATAGAATGGCCCAGCGCGTGGCCGGGCGGCAGGATAGCAGGGAAGGGAAAAAACGAGCGACCGAGCTCCGAAACCAATGGCACCACTTGGATGCGCAAGCTGCGTTGCATGACCAGGCCGAGATGTAACTCTGTCCCTCTAGCTTGTCCTAATCTTCCAAAGGTTTACGCAACATATACGGATTGCTCCAGTCCAGGCTCCTTGCAGCACGGTCTCACATGGAACCGCCCCGCTGTTACTCAGGAGCAAAACATCGTTAGCGCCCCGGTTCGTTCGTTCCTCCCACGGTTCGCTGCTACCCAAATGTTTGTAGGACCTCATTGTAGGATATGGAACCAGTTATTGACGGTGTAGGGTCCCATGCTGGCAACAGCCATGCGCAGGCGTCTGTGGGCCAAGCCTCGTGCAGGCCTTATCCTCCACAGCCCTTGAACCTCACGCCCCGGTTCCAAGTGTTCTTCAAGAGCGCAAGAGCCTGGCATGCCGCGATCAGTTCTGACACCGGCGCCTACTTTGGGACCGACCCATGGCTCATGGTCGGCGCTCTTCGATGAATGCTTTTACTTTATGGCTCCCCAACACTGTATTAAATGAACGTCGCACGTTAAGCGCACTGGTCAAAGCATTAACGCCGTACGTCAGGAGCACTGTCCCTTACTTCTACTCGCAATCGGGAGTCCCTTGAAGATGGCCTACACACATTCTTTGCGGAGGGCCAGGGCGGCCACATCGCTCGTGACGCGCGGTCCCCTGCCGCTGAGCACTTTATCCCCCACAACCCTATTGTGCTGCACCCACACTCTATGCTCAAGTCATCCCCCAAAACTTTAAGCTGCATAGCCTTGTTCGAAGCGGCCGATATGTCTCGGGTCCTGACGGTATGGCGGCCCTGCATCATTAAGCACCAACATTAGCTGCCAACAGCCTTCAGTTTCTATCTGCACCGCGGCCATTGATCGAGAGACCCACACAAACGCTTTGTCGGCGCAACACGGTGCTTGTCGATTTCCTAACGGCAAGGATTTGAACGGCTCCCACCGGCGTCACGAATACAATAATCGCGCATTTTTCACGGGAAGTGGACGACCGGAGTAAGGGCGCGTTGCCCACCTTACACCTTCCCTCAGTCGTCTTAGAACGCTTTCTATAAAGATCATCGCATGTGTGCTCATTGATTTGCGTTTGCGTGCGTTTGCGTGTGTGTGTGTGGGGGGGGGAAGGGTTGTCTCGTCTTCACTTATATTCACCACTACCCTATACTCTGCGCAGTGTCACCCATTCCTATCTGTTCCTCGTCTCGACGTCCGATCCCCACACTCAAGGATGGCTACCTAATCTGCCCAGTACATCATGTAACACACATACATCAACAGTCCTCTGCCAGTACATCTCACAAACCAACAATACCGTACACGCATGATGAGGTCTGCACGCACTGCTCCGAACCTGTCGCTTGGCCTGAAGCCATTGTCTATCTTCCTAACGCAACCCGCGTGCGATAGCCCCCGAGCCTCCTAACAACCTACCACCCTACGTGCACTTCGCCCTGCTCATGAGACCTCCCACGCGCCAGCCAGCCAGCCAACACACACACACACACACGCAGGGGAAAACACCAACAGCCATACGCACCGCACGTCTTTACCACCACACGAAACCAACGCAACAAACAGGGTCAGACGCGCGCATGAACACACGAGCACACACGCAACGTAACGCACGTCGCGGCCCCGGCAAGGTCACCGCACCGCCTGCAGCAGCAGCCACGCAACGCAAAAGGACCCTGGCTATGCCAACCCCTGTTCCTCTCCTAAGCCCCGGCCATGCATCCTAAGCCCCGGTCCTCAGCCCCGGCCATGCTGCGGTCCTACAGTGGAGCCCCACACAGGAAACCAAAGCGAAAGCAGGAACGCGGCTCAAGACACCTGCACACCCGCAGCGACCTTGGGACACGCGGTGACGATGGCACACGCGGTTTGATCTCCCAACCCAATAAAGTGACGCAGCGGCACATGCGATCAACATAAACGTGTTCAGCATCATGTGGATGCACTTCCCCCCGGTCGTAGCCACACACCCGGTTGCAGGCTTCCCTCACATGCCTGGCCGACGACGCCAGGAAAGGCCCAGAAAGGTCCGAGAGCACATGTCCATTGCTGCTTACAGGATGGTTGGCCTCTCCAAACAACACAAACACAGACGATCGAAACGAAAACCGTGCTAAGTGGTCCCACGGTATCTCCTACCAATAGAGTAACATGTGGGCAAGTGGGGTGTGCGCTTTCCCCCCTCCCCTCCCGCATGCTCCTCCTCCTCCTCCTCACCGGGCGCTGGGCGGCCGCCGGAGCACCTCCGCCAGGCTCAGGGGCTTCACACTGGGTGACGGCGGCCGCCGCTGCTGCAGCCAATCATGACTGCTTGTACTGCTGGTGGCGGTGGCGGCAGTAACAGAACTGCTGCTGCTGCTGCCACCGCCGCCGCTGCTAACAGAGCCGCCGGTAGCGGCCGTCGCGTGGCCGATGCTTTTCCGAGCGATGGGCAGCGCCCCGGAGATCTGTTGAAACTGCCGGTCCAGGAGCGTCGGTTCCGTCCGGCTAAGCAACCACGACCCTAGCATCGGCCCGTACGCGCCTGCCGACCGGGGAAAGGACCCGGCAGCTCCACCTCCCGCGGCGGCGGCGCCAGTGTTGGGCTGGGAGGAGGACGACGACAGCTGCAGCGACGATGATGGCAGCCCGCCGGCGCAGTGCGCCGTTGCCGTCGCCTGAAGCGGAGTCACAGGCGGCACCGTGGCCGATTCCTCTGCTGGAGCCTTCAAACCCACGTCCGCATCCGCCGCGGGCGCCGGCAAGGCTCCCGCCACTGCCTCTGCGGCCGCTGTCGGAGCAGCAGCAGCAGCATCCCCTCCTTCCTCCTCCATTGCTGGACTTTCGCAGACAGCCGCCGCCATTGCGGCCGCCACCGCGTGCTGTTCCTTGCCGCCCGCTACACAACCCGAGGCATCTGCACCTCCGTCAGGTGCCGTAGCTGCCGCCGCGGTGGACGATATGCCGTCGCAGTCCATGCCTGCCGGTTGGGGATGCCGTGAAGCCTGCTCCACGGATCCTAGCGTTCCCCATCCGGAGGCCGCCTCCTCTCCCACTGCCCTTGATTCGCAGCCCTCGTACGCTTCAACCCCCTCTACCTCTACCTCTACAGCAGCCACCGGCGCTGCATCCCCGGTGATACAGCATCCAGCCTCCTCGCACACATCCTGCCGATCCCACGGTGCTTGGTCGAAGGCCCATGACGGCTGACCAGAGGCCCGCAAAGACGTATCATGTGACGACATGGGATGCGACACCGAGGACGTGATGGCGCTGACTGAGCCGCTGACGGTGGCGACACTCGTCGCGCTAATGCCGCTCTCGCACAGCTCCAAGTCCAATAGGTTGCTGCTCGCGGCGTTGGCTCCAGGCAATGGCCCGGAGTCAGAAGGATGGGACGGTGGCGGCGGCGAGAAATGCTGCTCCAAGTTGGCGAGGGCTGAGCGAGCAACCGCTCTCGGGTCCAACGCCGTGCCGTCGCTGCTGCCGCCTCCGCCTCTGCCGCCGTCACCGGCAGCTTTCGCCAGGGAAGTCGGTACGCAGATGACGGGCACCAGGGGAAAGCCGGAGGACGACCGCCACGGCACCCGCGGATGCCCCGCGCCGCCGTCGCTGGAGTTGTAATACTCAGCCCTCGCGCTGGTCGCCCGCGATATGTCGTACGCGACATTGTCGTACAGACTGACACCAAGTCTTGAGACTAGGCTACCCGCGTCCGCGTCACATGCAGGAGGGTAATCGTCGTCAGGGAACAGCTCCGAGCCGCCCATGGAACGCTCGTCCCGAGGCTGTGGCGACGGGGGCGCCGCTGTGTTGTTGCTTTCACAGTCGGCACCCCCTGCGCAGGACGCATCTCTGGCATCTGTCAGTGTATCCACTGTCGGCAGCAGCAGTCGCAGCTCCTTCAAATCGCCCGTCGCCGCCTCCATCCCCACGTCAGCCCCGAACGCCTCCTTATCGTCCCCATCCTTAATGCCCTGGTTGTCCTCATCCTCGCCAAAGACTTCATCATCGTCGGCGGCGAAGACTTCTTCGCCCTCGATCCCTTCCCCGTTGCTCCCTTCGCCGTCATGGCACCTAGCTGCCGAGGGTTTAGCAACTCTGAGCGACTCTTGGTTCGACTCTTGGTTCGATCCGCGCGGCTCGCATGCATCCGCCTTTCCGTTTTGGTGCGATCTTTGCCGCTGCTGGTCCTCTCCTGACTTCTCGCCCTCGAACTTCCCGGTAGGCATCTGCAGCGCAGCTGTCACGCTGAAATGCGTCACGATGTGCCCCTGCTCCGGTTGCTCGTGTTTTTGCCACTGCTGTTGTTGCGAGGGTTGTTGCTGCTGCTGCTGTGGCGGCGGCGACGGCAGCGGCGACGACGGCACGACATCGGTGGAGCCGTCAGACAGTCGATGCGGCCCCGCCGGGCCGCCCTGTTCACCATGCGCGGCATTTCCTCGCCACGTACCACCCGAGTGTTCCAGCTGACCTAGCAGTGCAGTCAGCGGGCCGCCGACCCCTGCGCCTGCCGCTGCTGCCGCCGCGGCAGCAGCAGTGACGCTGGGCCTGTGTGGGCTACGTGGCGGCGGCGGCGGCGGTGGAGGAGTAGGCTGTCGTATCACCTGCGGTGCTGCCCAACAACCGCCTTCCCGCGAACTGGAGACGTTCCGCAGCGGCTGGGCCAGCGGCCGAGGATCGCCGCTGGCGCCGCCGGCACCTCCCTTGGGGACACCCTTCGCCTCCTCGCCAGTGAAGGACATGCTACGACGCCGCTGCGGCCTACTGCCTCTTGCCGCGTCTGCGGTCCAGTTCTTGTCGCTGTCGGTGCCTTCATCTGCGGTGCCCCTTCCTCCGTTGGGCTTCTCAGAGCTGGCAGACAGCAGAGATGTTTGAGGTTTGGGGTTGGCGAATGTGAAGGATGCAACGAAAGACGGGTCCTCTGCCGGCTTGCTACGGTTCAGGGCCAGCGAATTCCGCGGAGACGAGCCTGGGATCAACAGGAGAGGCTTAACAACAGCGCTGGGAGAGCCGCCGTTGCCGCCGCCACCGGTTGCAAGCTCGATCAGTAGCGCCGCCTGGCGCTTCTGAAGACTGCGGAGTACTGAACCCAAGGGGTCGACCTCGTCGCTACCATCGGCTGCTACAAGGCTGCTCCTTGCGGCGGTCGGCGATGAGACGTGGTCCCACTTTGCTGCACCAGCGGCTTGCTGCGGTTGCTGCTTCTGGCGTCGCAGCGGCGAATCGAAGGCGTAGCTAGCACGGATTATCGCGGAGGGCCGGCCGGTAGCTGAGCAGACGCCTCGCGTATTTTCACGGCTGGGGCTGCCGCTGCTGTTGTCCTTGCCGCCGTTCACACCGTCTGGGCTATGGGTTCTGCGCCGCCCAGTAGACGCATCCCCCACTACGTCCTCATGACTATCGCGGCTATCAGCAAGGCAATGACGAGCACCCGCTTGACCGCCGCTGGCCCGCGACAGCTTGACGGGGGACGCCATCTCCATCTTGCTGTCGTCTAGCCCTACGCCCCAGCTGCAGCCACCGTTACCATCGCTTTCCCCACCATCGCCGCCTCGACTCTCATTTGCGGCACCTGCAGGACTGCCGTGACCGCAAGAGTCCCCGCTGTGCTTCGCAGCCCCTGTAGACTCCTCCTCCCGCTCGCACTCCTGGCCTTCCGCGTGCGGGGTTAAGATACACACAGCCCTGGAAGCCCCCGCGCGGCCACCTTGCGGCTGGGCGCGCAAACCCAGCGGATGTTGTTCCAGCAGGGCAGCCAGCTCAGAAGCCGCGTCGCTACAACGGACTGCGCCAGCCCCCGCGCCAGCGAAGGCGCCGCCGTCCGACGATGAAAGAGGTCCTAGCTTGTAGGAGCCCCGGCCAATGGTAATCTCTGAATGTGAGTGCTTCAGTGCGTCGCCCGCTGCCGCCGCCGCCGCTGCTGCTGCAGCCGCCTCCTCTGACAGCTTCAGCCATGCGGCTACAGTCCTCGGTTCAGGCGTCCTGCGATGTGGCGAAGACAACGACCCAAATAATCGAATAAGCAACGTAAGACCGCCCCCTCAAAGTACGGCCTATTGAGAATGTAAAGCAGTGCGGTCCCGGCAGCCCCAGAGACAGCAACAACGCGGCAGCAACAACGGCAGCAAGAACGTCGTCGCTCATCAACGTGACAGGTCCGCGCTTGCGCCTTCCTTTCCCCTCATCCCATCTCATCACCCCAACCTCCGAATCTTACATAGCTCGTCGGGAGGCGCGCGATCGCGTTGTGACCCGCGGCCGGATCCACTCCATAGCGCTGCAGCTGCGGCTTCGGCTGTGGCAACGTGCTGCCGCCGCCGCCGGAACCGTTAACGCCGACGTCGCCAGCGCCCTCTGCGCCGTGTGTATAGCAGCGTAGCTCAACTGCTGCACCTGGGACCCCACCCGAGGGCCAGCTGGCTGCCCGCCTCCACCGCCGCTCCTACCGTTCGCGCAGCTCCCATCAGAACGGCTGCTGCGGCGCGGCTTGGCCCACAACGCCCGATCACTCAGCGACCCGTCCAAGACTGCCTCCACAGGAACCGCCGCAGCTGCTGATGGCTGCGGCACATCAGTACCAATACCTGCCGCCTTCGGCACCGTGGCGGCGCTGGGTGCAGTCACTGCTGTCCGAGCCTTCGCGGCCACCCCGCCAAAACTGACAGCGCCGCTTGGTACGGTCACGAAGGCCCCAGCGCCGTCCGGACCAAGCAGCGACTGGCTGTCTCGACCCCGCCTGACGGCGGACGTTCCCGGCGGAGTGGCAGAGCGCCGAGCGATACCAGCGCCCCGCCAAACGGGAGCGGCCGCCTTAGCGACAGCACTGCCGCCGCTGACGTCGGCGCCGCTCCATGTGGCAGCTAGGTGACCGCCATTGGAGGCAGCACTACAGAAGCCAGCAGTGCTTACATCGGAACGGCGGCGGCCACGAAGGCCTGCTGAAGAGCCGCGCCTGGAAAGTGGCGTCCTCGCATTCCGACACCCGTTGCCGCCGCCGCCCCCTGTGGTAGCAGCGAGCCGGGTCTCTTGTCTCAAGCGGGGGGAGGCGCTAGTGAAGCCAGTTCCGTGTAAGCCAGCGCCACCGCTGGTGTGCGCCCTGCCAGCCGCAATCGGTGACAGAACGCCGCGTGGCGACGTTGAAAATGGCCCCCGATTGCCACCGATGTCAAGGAACACGCCACCGGTCATGTTGTGCTTGGCGGGGTATGGCATCGTCAGCGGGCTGTCCTCTCGGCTGGCGGCGGCATAACGTCGGTTGGGAGCATGGGCGCTGCCTGAATCTGGGTCTTGGCGCGGGGTGTCACCGGTGGCGGCCTGCGGGGAGGGCTGTAGGATGGCGTCGCAATCGACTGAAGCGGCGTCGGCGAACGAGATATCCGCCTGTGCCTCAGCATCCGCCCGTTGTTGGCGATGGGACAGGGGCTGCGATCCGGGTGGCGGCGCACGCACGCTGAGCGGCGCCGACCCCGGAATGGCGAAAGGTAAAGGTTGTGGTGCCGTGGTGCGGGTTGCCGCAGCTGGCCCTGCGGAGCAGATGAAGAGCATGGGGAGACGGCCGTAAGGATGAGACGTGGAGGAAGGCAGGCAGGCAGGCAGGCAGCAGCTGCAGCTTGAAAAGAGTGTTCAGGACAGTGGCGCGCGGCTGTGACTGTGTGTCGACGTTGTCAGCACGCTGTGCCGGGCGCGAGACCGGGGCTGGCATTGGCGGAGAAACGCAACCTATCCTCCTGCCCAACTCCTTTTCCTTGTTAACCTGCTCCCGCTTCTGGCCAATCGGTCCAGTGTCGGTCCAGTGCCTTGAAAAATCGCTTGTCGAGAGGGCCGTGCCCTCCCCGCTTTGGTCACATGGTGGATATCCTTTAATGGCCATCCGCTTTGGTCACGTGGTTAATGCGTGTTTTACGGGGCCCCCGCACTCAAGGCATAGGAACATCAGGGCTGCCGTCCTGAGCATGTGCAGCTCAGCACCCAAACCCAACAACCTCCGTGCGCGCCGTAGCCGCATCCAGCCTCACCGGATCCGGCTGTGATGGTAACGACAGAGTGTCCGTACGGGTCGTGTTGGCGCCGTAATCCCCCATTTCCACGACCGCTTAAGATAAGCGGTGGCACTATCGGCGCAACTACGCCGTAGTCGCCATCTGCAGCCTGTCCGCCTTCCACTTCCGTCCCCTCCTCGCCACGGATCCCATGGGCCGACGACGGCGAAGCCTGCAGCAGCGCTGCCGCCGCCGCAGCGGCGGCAGCAGCGGCCATCGCCGCCGCCGCTGCAGGGTCGCGCTTGTAGCGTGTGAGCGTCTCCAGGTTGGGGTCGCTCTGCCGCACGATGGACACAAGCAGCGCGATTTCCTCCTCCATCTGTCGCACCTGCTCCTGCGCCGCCTGCCGTGCCTCCTTCTCCGCAGCCACAGCGCGGTCTAGGGCGGCGTTGCGGTTTCGGAGCAGCGTCGCGCGTGATTCCAGCTCCCGGACGAGTGCTGGCGAATCACAATCAGCGACGGAGACAGCGATAGGATCTTACCGTATGTTGAGAACGGGTATTGAGCATTAAATAGGGACCCCCAAGGTTTCAGCTATGAGCCTTTTGCAGGATGCATACACATACCCCACTGCCACCGCTCGCTTGAGACATGTATACTATGAAAGCAGGCGGACAGCAGGCAAAATCTTCTCCTGAAACCGCTACATCCACGGAGCGGCATGCGGAAACATGCTTTTACATGCCAAGAGGTGACGGTCCAAAATACAAAGCAGATTGAGTTGCATACCAGTTGGGACTGTGGCGACCGTCATGCGCACCTGCTTGCTCCTGCGCGAGTCGCTCTGCTGCAGTTAGCTGCTCCTGCTGGGCATCAGCACGCTTTGCCAGCGTCGCTAACTGGCGATCCTTCTCCGCCTTGCGGGAATGCAGCTGCTGGTGCTCGCGCTGCACGCATATGCATCACCGGGCGGGCAGAGGCGCGACATGCTGTTTGCGATTCACTACCCCATAAGAGAACAGGAATCATTACGAGGTAATGGCAGCGTGGAAGCGAAAACCGAGGAGAGTACGAGCGATCCTGAGGCAGACGATAAGAGTCCGCAGGCCGGGCTGAGCAGGGTAAGCAGCAGCACCTCGTGATTGCACTCCACGGCGCGCCCGCGGGGACGGGGAACCTCTTTCATGCCCTTGGATTTAACAAGGCTGTAACGCCTTCAGCCCCTTCACACCTGCAGCTTGGTGAGCTGGGCAGCCAGGATTGCCGCGTCTTGTGTTGCGACCTCCACCTCACGCCGCAGTCGCCCGTCGCGCAGCGCGTTGTCGCGCCGTGCCGCCTCCGCGGCTGTCGACATTTCCTCATGCCGCCGCCGCAATGCGCTGAACTCTGCCTGGACCTGCGCGGCAACCCGCAGTGTGGTCCGATCCTCGGTATGTGGACCCCGTCGGATTGTTCGTTACTGGAGCCCACTGACGTTATCATCCCTCTCTTATCCCCACAATTGAGCGCTTTGGGTGGACCCTTATTCGCATACCGACAGATCTCCCACGTACGCAGCAAATGCCCGTCGCCACACTCCGTTCAAGTAGGTGAGATGGACTGACAGGCAGACGCGCCAAGCAAGGAACGCGAGGAAACAACCACGCAAATGACTTGCCGAGCCGGGCGCCTCACCGCAGAAAGGGCACGCTCGCGCAGCTCAAGATCCTCTTTCAGTTGCGACACCTCCTTCTGGGACGTGTCGTGTACCTCCTGTGGGAAGCGCCATGCCGCGGCAGGGAACAGAGGTGTAAGCAAGCTCCTACAGCGACAAGCCCATGGAGAATTTATCCAGCCGTCTATCTGCAAGCTCAGCTATCTACAGCGTCAAGACCCCCCTTCCAGACCTGCACAAAAGAATATTACTACCAGAGGACTTATGACCATGGATTCGGCAGCGGCAGTTCAAGTGGCTTATGTCAGACATACCTGCAATTGTGTGTGAGCCGCTCGCAGTTGCTTCAGTTCCTGGGCAGCCTGTAATGGACAAGAATCGTACTTTAAATCCACTTGTCACGCTTTCAATCGTCCATCCGCCGCGTCCACACCACACTGCAAGTCAAGAACTAAACACCTTGCCGAATCATGCCGACCATTGGCTGCTGACCATTGTACTGACCCGACCAACTGTGCGACAGCAGCCCAAAAGCGTAAGGCCCACCCGCAACAGTTCACTGCCCAACCTGGGCCCCACGCAGAACAGCCCGGTATTGGCCATGTACCTAAAGCATCAAAGACATATAACGCAGCTTCATCCCTACATGTGTATCAACCTTAGCGCCCCCCTCAAGCTCCCCAAGCAAAAGGCCACGATACCCACGTGTTCAGCGGCGGATAGGGTCTCCTCCAACGTACTGTACAGCGCCCGGTTCTGTTTGGCCAGCGAGTCGTTCGCCGCCCGCTCCCGCATGACCTGCTCCTCTAGCTCCGCCTCCCGGGCTTTCAGGCGCTCATCTAGCTCCGCCTCCCGGGCTTTCAAGCGCCCCTCTAGCTCCGCCTCCCGGGCTTTCAAGCGCTCATCTAGCTCCGCCTCCCGGGCTTTCAGGCGCTCCTCCACCTCCCGGACCTGTTCTTGCAGGTGCTGGTCGCTCTCCTGCGACTATCGGGGTGAAAGGTATGTGTTATACAAGGGGTCCTTGCCGTCATTGACAGCCGGAAAGAGGGCAGTCCGATGGAACTCATAGATAGCTATGTGCCCCTACTGTGCATTCCCCACGATGAAGATCACGGAAACCTAGCTTGCTTATTGGCTCTGGGGCTTGAGAGCCGACATGGAGAGGGGGTCGTGGGCGAGGAGTCGCACGTGCCTTTGTGTACAGGAAAAACATCAACTGCCAGGTAGTATTGAGCAGCAGGGCTACTGACAACGTGCAGCCCTACGGGCAGGCCACCCATGCAGCCCCACGCTTTCTGCCCCACCCATCTGCTACTTGCCATCGCATGTGCCTGTCCCGCGTCGGCCGTCTGGGGCGTGCAGGCTGGCGCAGCTGCGTCGGCCCTCGCAGCCGCCGCCCGGGTGTGCTGCTGCTCCTCCTCCAGCTGAAACTCCAGGTCGGCGTGAGAGGCCTGTAGCTCAGCCACTTGCGCGCTCAGACTGACCACCTGCACAGGGCGTCGCGGAAGCAGATGACGGGCGAGCTTAGAGCAAACGAACTCACGGCCGGCGGGAGTTTTTGGATCTAGGACCCCGACCCCAACGCCACCAAGAAACGCACTGAGGCACTAATTTACATCTACACCACTCGAACTCGACTCGCGACGTGTGCTGCTGGAACGAGGCGGCTACGTTGCCTGAACACGAATCCATCCATTTTGCGGGCGGCTTCTACCCTGCCCCACATCCTATGCGCTCCCCTCATGGCAAGGTCCGGAAACCTCGTCGTACCTGCTCCTCTAACCTCCGAATGCGGGCCTGTGCAGCCATGACCACATCGCTCTGCCAACTGCCGCCCTCCATGGATAGGCCACGCAGGCGGTGTTGTGGCTGTGGGGAAAGTGAGGTCCGAGCCGCGGTTTGCTTGTCCGTCAGGGGCCCGGGGGCCTGGCCGTTTCGGCGGCCGGGTGATGGGCTGGACTGGCGCTGCACGTGCTGCCGCATAGCGCGCTGCTGCCGCTGGGCAACGGCCATGATAGCGGCCGCCGTTGGCGCTGCCGCAGCAGCGGCAGCAACAGGACCCAGAGCAGCGGAGACCGGAGCCGCAATAGCGGCAGGGACTTGCGGCACCGCTTGCCCGAATTCGCGAGAGGCGGCGCCCTTCGCGCGCTGTGGAGAGGGGGACCGGAAACTCGGTTCCTCTCCGATTTCCCAGACAGCCCCCGCGTCGCGGCACGCCGAGACCGATGACGCTGATGCCGGCTGCGGCAGCACCGCAGCGACCGTAGCGACTAAAGCCGGTCCGGAGCAGTGGCTCCCTGCAGCTACCGCTTCCAACGGCAGGTTGGTTCCTCTCCTTCCTATGGCCGCGGTAGGTGAGGCCGTTGAAGGCTCCTGCGATTTGGGTTGCTGCACCTGCAGTTGCTTCAGCTGCTGTGGAAGCTGCAGTTGCGGTTGTGGTTGTGATTGCTGCTGCCTTAGTTGCTTTTGGACATGCCCCTGTGACTCGTGTGGTGCGCAACGTTTCTGTGGTGGCTGTAAGTGCTGCTGCGCCGGCGGGTGCGCCGGTGGGTGTGGCGACGTATCTGCCGCCGATCCTGCAATAAGCCCTCCCGCCCGGCCAGCAGTAGTGCTGGCCCCGTAGCTGGTATGGCTCGCTGGGACTGAATCACCCAGCGTTGCGTTGCACGGTTGAGTGCCACTGGCTGAACCTGCCTTGGCAGACGCTCCACCTGCTTCATGGGGCCCGTTGGGCTTGTACTGCTGCTCCTGCTGCTGTCGTATCGTTGCTGAAGTATCTCCTGCGCTGGTGGGTTCCAGTTCCACACCACCCACAACACGGGCTGCCGTGGGTAGAGATGCAGCCTCCACGAAGTCCGCTTGCTGTGCGGCTTTAATGGATGCAACAGCACGCAACTCCGCGATAATGTCAGGCGTGGTGGAACGCTGTTGCTTCAAGGCGCGCAGTGCAGCCGTGCGAGTGATCGTATTGCGGGGCCGGCCACGCGCCGGCTGTGCCGCACCACTGTCAGCAGCACCCTCGCCGCCGGCAACATCTCCACCCGTGGCCATAGATGGCCCCCCTTGCCCCGCCGTGAGAAGCCCTGAACCTCCGTCACCTCCGCCGCTTCCCCGGACACCATTACTGACGACGGAGACATGCCGGTCTCTGGGACTGCTCCGGCAACGGCTGACACCAGTTGCCCTTGGACTGCCGGCGACATTGTCGCAGCCGTATGTGGCCCGGCCGCCGCGCGGACTAGCACTGCCACCGTCAGGACCAACACCGCCGCCGCCACCACAGCCACTAGCACCCGTGTCGGCAGGGCTGCTGCGCCTGCGGCTTGCGATACCACTGCTGACCATAGGAGGGCTGCTACATCGCGGGGCCCGAAGTTGCGGTTGCGGGCTAGCTTGTCGCTGGGGCTGCTGCCGCAAAATAACCGCTGAAGTCTTCAGGCTGGCAGTCGAAGCGCCGCTTGCTACGGGGGCCGCTGTGCCGGTAACGCTGGCCGCGACGGACGGCAGCTGCAGGGCCAACGTGGGTGCTCGCAAGATACCTTTGAAGACGAATTGGGGCACCACCTAGGTTTGCCATGGGGAATGTCAGGGGAGTGGAGAAGTGAAGAAGGACCGCAGCAGTGCCATAGTAATCGACCGAGCACAAGGTGGGCTCGGCTGGGAGGGAAATTCCCGGACGTACGAGCCACGATGACGCGATCCCGGGAGGTGAAATGCAGGCGCAGGGACGGGGACACTTGCGAAGCCCATGATTAGTAATGGAGAGTGACTGAGCGCCAACTTACAGTGTTTGTTCCTGCAAGGCTTGAGTCGCGGGCCGAGGAGCCTCCAAACGCCGGGTTAGCCACCCCTGCATCCATCACAGGCCGTGAAATGCAGTGGTGCTATGCTAGATGTAGATATCCTGCTTTGGATTGTCATCTTCCCAAGTTATGCTGGTCAAAGGCATGCGAAGCTTGTACTGGGCTGTCTTACGATATGTTGTACACAACTTCGCCGTGTTGCCAGCCCGTCGCTTGTCGACGCCGAAGTGCCCTCGAGAGGAACCACCATCCCGCTGAAGGACGGAGCTGATTCCCCTGCACGATGTGCGAGATACGTTGCTGTTCCTTTAGGTGCGAAGTCAACGCCGCACATCAATTGACGGGAACCAACCTGGGGCTCCTTCCAGCTTGCGCCCTTTGGTTACCGGCTGATACTATACGCGTGAGTACGCGATCAAGAACAGCATCATTGTTGGATGCCGACATTCTCAGGTGGTCAACTTCTACGGATGAACACCCCCTGCCTGCTCAATGAATTCCAGGTATACCATTCCTTAAAGATTCGCAAGTATTTTCAAGTCTTCCTTTAAATTAGTCCTATCCGATGTCTGGCTAGGAATGCGGTATCATTCTGACAGATGCTTTAACTTGGCCCCAAAGCCATTAATATGCAGATTACATAGTTGCATCTTATTACAAAATTTGAAAGATATTGTATGCTTTGCTAGCCAATGAAAACACAAAGCGGATGGGAAGTTGAACTGCGTACGGCAAATGGCAAAATTTTTGGTCAGGCCGTCGGTCGCTTATGGCATATACCCTTGCGCCCTGCTAGTGATTAGTGTGTATGATTTAAGTTGCATATAGCCTTCTTTAAGCACATATGGCCCCCTTACCAGCCCCGTTCTTGAAAAGAGTGGCCCCGGTGGTCCGCGCCGGCGTAACATCATGCATCGTTATGCAAGCAGGAGATATCCTATGCCAATCTATTCAGCGTAGGAACAAGTGGGTTATCCAGGCAGTGTTCCTTTCTCCCCGGTCGACACTCGTTCACCCGTCCACGACCCCATCGCGCTGCAGGTCGGGTGCGCTGGACTGGGGAGCCCATGACTGGAAGCGCACCGCGCGCTTCGGCCTCATAGGCTTGACCCTTCACGGGCCCTTCTTCCTCTGGGGCTTCCGCATGATCGACGAGCGGTTTGGCCCGGCCAAGACTCTGCTCACGGTCAGGGGGGAGGGGGGGATGATAGTGGTGGCGTTGGTGGGCTTAGGATCAAAGCTGGCAGCGATGGTTGAGGGGTGGCTGAAGGGTGCCGTTATCTGCAAGGCGGTCCTCTGCCCCGTCTCCCTCTCACAGAGGAGAATAATTCCCGGGAGCTTGCACCACACACGTGAAACACTTTGTTGCAACTGGGTATTGTAAGAGTGGTAGAGTGGCCTTGCTGCTACGAGGTGTAAAATCTGTCCAGTGATGTATATCTAGTGAAAAGACGCCACCCTGCCTTTGGACAGCCTTCCCCCGCTTCCCACTCACGCTCACTGCCCAGTTGACAGTGCGGGCAACAAATAGCAAACCCCGCGGTAACGCTCTTTACCTCCGCACCTCTACCTTTAGGCTCCTTTACGCGGCTACCGGGCTGTCTGTGTGTCGTTTATGAGAGTCACGCACATGCATACATACACACACGCATACGCACACACACGCATACGCACATACATACATACATACATACATACATACATACATACATACACACACCATGGGGCTATGAACCTGGATGCCGGTTGGGTTGGACTGGTAACCCCCCCTCAGGCCGCCAAGAAGACGGCTTTCGGTCAGGTGACCATCTTCCCAGCCTACGTGGCAGCGTTCTTCACCTACATCGCGATCCTGGAGCCGGGGGGCAACCTGGCGGCGGTGGGGACGAAGCTGCGGAGCAGCTTCCTACAGACCTACGTGGCAGGTGCGTGTCATGTATGTATGTATGTATGTATGTATGTATGTATGTATGTATGTATGTCCGTGCATGGGTCGGAAAGAAATGCCTTCACTCAGCGGTCCACGTGACTCCGGAGTGGGTCACACTCGACGAAGCAACACCGCAGGCCGGGAAGGGGATTGCTCTTGGGGCGCGTTAGCGCCGTGAGAGAGCGTGAAACACTGCATCTGCCGTGCCACCTGTTCCTAGGCCTAGGCACTAGGAACAGGTAACGGGCTTACATATCTACAGATGTACACACCGGGAGGTTGGCTTCCATGGTTCGGGGTCCCCGCACATCGAGTACATCCAGACCACAAATGTGAACAGACCACCCTCTGAAACCCTCTCTCGCCCATTTGCTCGTCACACTCCCCGGCGCCTCTCCCCACCGCGCTCGTGCTGTTCCCTGTCAGGCTCTGTATTCTGGCCCGCAGCCAACATGATCAACTTCATGTGCTGTCCACCTTCGGCCCGCATACTCTACGTCAACGGCGCGGGGCTCGTGTGGAACGCACTCCTCAGCGCGGTCAACAGCCAGCAGGCTGTGGCTGTGGGGAGCCCGCCGGCGCCGGCGGCTGTAGCTGTCAATCCAGCTTAGCACGCTTCACGCACACACACACACACACACACTGGCTAACAATATTGCTAACATATAGAAATTCAACTGGTCCTGGGGCTGCTGGGGTTGGACTACATTGAGTTGATCTGGGTCGCTTAGGTTGGGTTGGGGTGGTGATGTCCACAGAGAGACAACCCTACGGACACCCCCCCGGGCGCAGCCCCACGCACCCGTATGTATGTCCTTCAGGTTGTTTCTGCACCTTCAGGTTTACCTCAGCACCCCACCTCTAGCCCAGTCGCCACCCTCCCAGCCAGCGAGCCCGGGGTGTACAAAAGCGGACGGGGGGGGGGCTGTGTAGTATCCTGGTCACCACGGGATCTGTCATCCGCCGATCGGTTCTTTTCTGCAAAAGACGTGATACAACAGGCTGCCGGGATGCAGGATGCAGCCGGTGACGGCGGCTGCTGCAAGCTGGGACATATGCAGTAGTAGTCCTCGGAGATAAGAGTGTTGCGGATGGGGGCGTTCTGCCTGGAATGAAGACAGAAGGCGGCTTTGAGGGAGCTCCGTGCCCCTTTTTTGGGATGACAAGCCTTTGGAGGGGTTTTGGGGTTGGGGGGGAGGAAAGGAAAACAAGGAAAGCGCCATGACGCAATATCCCTGTATGTATGTGCGTCCTTGCACATAAGCCTCTCGGGTCAGCGTGGCCAGGAAGAAGTGCTCTCTTAGGGCAGTGCAGTGGTGGATAAGGGGGTTGAGGCGGTACACACTTGGATTGGAAATGAAAAGGGGAGGGAGGGAAAGAGAGAGGGAGAGAAAGGATGGTGTTATTGGTAGTGGCGGTTGCGGAGATGGAGACACATACACACAGACACACATATGGGGTTTTGATCATTTTGGTGCATCTTTGCGGTTACTAGGGTCAGAGCGACGATACCGTACTGCGTTGTAAAACTTAATGCAGAATAACAAGTGTACGGTGACACGGACACTCCTGGATGGATAGGGTTGTTGTTTCAGTGGTCTCGGGGTCCCCCCGGCGGGGTTATGTGCCCCGAGCAAGGAGTGTTGTCGACTTGCTGGCCGCCAGCTCGACGTCTTTTCTTGGTATACATGATTTTTTTCTATTTATCGTACGTTAGGTGTGTGTGTATATATATACATGTGTGTATATATATATATCATCAGGATATACACATAGGGTATATGTTCTGGTAAAAAAACATGCACGCCGGTCGGGAGGCCGTCCTACGGGGTGTCGCGCACAAGAGGAGGAGGTTGCACGGGTGTGGGTCTGAACCCTCCTGGCGAGGGAGGGCGGTGAGCAGCGGTGAGCGAGAAAGGACGACGACAGGGCCCGCCGGGTAGGGAAAAACAGGAGGGGAGGGAAAGAAACGCGCGGAAGGCGAACTCTGAAGATTTTTCGCCCCCGGGGGGGTGGTCGAGAGGTGTTGAAAGGAGCCGAGGCAGGCGAGTCAGAGGGTTGGGTCGGGCTGGTCGAGGCAGGTAGCACAGCTTTGCGTTGTGGGTTTGCCGCGTCTTGAGTCAGAGGAGGTGTTGAGCTGTGGACGCCAGTGCGGAGGAGGGAGTCGCAGCACTAACTCACGCGTGTGTGTGTGTGTATGTGTAGGAGGAGGACGGGCCCACGAGACCGCCGTCGGCCGGCCGTCAGTGCCTCCGGTGCCACCGCCCACCACTGACTGAGAATATGTATGACATTATTACTATGCTGCAGATATCGTTTGTTCTGACGGAGGTTTCCCTCAAGATGGAAGCCTGTATGTGTGTTCAAGTAATTAAAAGTATAAGTAAGACATTTGGCTCGGGAAATTATTCCTTGTGCAGGTGCTGGTGCTGATACTGTACGGGAAATCATTCCTTATGAGAGCTGATACTGTAGGGCTAAGGTCACATTCCCGGTGCGTCCTCGCGTACGAACAGGGGAAGGAAGCTTCTCTTATTATTACCCGCAACCTGAGATGTACAGGTGGTCGATCGTCCCGGTCGTTCTCTCGGTGGCACGTTCCGCCAGCAGGAACCAGGAATTCTAACCTATAGTTTTAAAAAAGGCCTTATGTTCGCATCAGGTCATGCATGGCACATTGCACATGTGCTGTTGCGCAACAAGTTATTTTTGGCCTGTATGTGTGCGGTGTACGAAGTGCCTTTTGCTTAACAGTCACCTTTTCAATCGTCAGCAGTCTCCGTCTTTTCCATTCACCAGGAAATCCGGCAACCAGCACATAGAGCGTGTCCTCTCACCAAACGAGTCGCTACCGTCCCCACTGCCAGGAAATCGACTGTCTATCCTACCAGTAGCGGCGGCGGTAGCTAGGTGGACTGCGACTCACACATGCAACCAGAAATAGATCATACGGACATACGGCCAGTCCGATACACAATCCTCTAAAAAGCAGAGCACCTGACTGGTAGACCCTGAACAACAAGCAAGACGGGCTAAGCAAGCGACTTGCTTCGTGGGAGGTGCATGTCTCCATCCGCTAAGCGATTCAAGCCCCACACCCTCCCCCCCTCTCTCTCTCTCTCTTTCTCTCACACATACACACACACACATATTTCTCCGCCTAGAGTAACACAGCGTGCGGGTGGAGCAGGTGGAGGACGACGGGGGAGCAGGAGCCACAGTTCGTTATTTATCTCCATCTGAATTAGCGTATCGCGCTCATTGCGTTACCGGTGGCGTTACAGCCTCAGGGGGCGGCATCTGGCAGCACCTGCCACCCCATGGCGGCAGCGACCCATGGGACGGTCGGGGCGACCAGCAGCACCAGCGCCGCCGCCAGCACCGCCAGCACCGCTAGCAGCAGCGGCCGCGGGATGAGCTGCAGCACGCCCTTGACCACGGCGGCAGTCGGGATGGGAAAGGCCCGGATGATGGCGTTCTGGAACTGGAACGTCGTCACATGCTCCGAGATGAGCTGGGTGTCAAAGGAGAAGGAGGAGGAGATTGTGTGGGTGGGTGAGGGGAAGAGGAGAGCTTTTTGGGGGCGGCTGTTAGGGCGTGCTATTAGGGTAGGTGGTAGGGGCGACGTAGGAATGCGGCATATAGGAAGGATGGACGGGGGATTTTTGACCGAATTTGTCAGCCCCGTGGAAGCGGGAGGACGACGTGGGGTTATTGGTAACTGGGACACCACACACAAATAGCTGGGAGGCCACAAAGCTCGGGTACGAAGATTTGTGGCCTCCTCAGACGCGCGAGGGAGGAAGATAAGGAAAGTTAAGGGCGACAGGAAAGGGGGCGGGGGTTTAGGACGAGCCACGGACGAGTAAAGCAGGGGCGGGAGGGGGAAAGGTAACCCGGGGAAACGCACGGAGAGAGATCAGGAAATGCCCGCCGGAGAGTCCATATAGTGCACAGCGCACCTAGAGCACACGGGGGTTATAGCGACAGTGATTGTGGCGTCAGGGAGAAGGGAAAACAACGACTAAGGCAATCGTCTCCGGGGTTCGTTCATCTCCACCTGCCGGACATCCTCCTCAGGTAGACCGCGGGCCCACTCGTCCAGCGTGGCCTTGAATTTGGTTCTGAGCGTGTTGCTGCTCTCCCCCTGCAGTGAAGTCATCAGGCAGTTCCCCCCACACACACACAGCCGCAGAATTGCTGACGCACGGCTTAGTTGCCGCCACAGCACAGCAGCAGAAGCAAACAAAAAACGACGAGCAGGATTAATGCGATGGACAGCACCGATAATCACCGATTGAAAAATAGTAACCTCAATATTTCATCAAAGGCCACCCACCCAAATAAGGTCTTAACTTTATTTTTTAAATCTAACGAATCTGGACATTTTTAAGTACAGTACTCTAGCCAGAGGGACGAGGCCAGCGCGCGCAATAATAGAAAAACTAAAGACTACCAGTTACCCAATACTAGTGACTGGCAGGCTTGCTCGCGCCGTAGACCTTGCTTGGTGTTTTCCCGGCTATCTTCCCGCTCAGCTTAGCCGGCTTCCTACCTTAAACTCGAAAGCATCAGTTCCCGCATCCTCCTCGGTTAGGGCCAGATGCTTCCGGACGAGGCGCCTAATGACCTGGCCACCCGCGGCCATTGCGAGGTGCTGCGTGTACGAGTGCGCCAGTAGCAGCCGGGGCTTTGTGGCGGCCAGGAGGGAGAGGTGGTGCTTTGCGGCAGCCGTGTGGAGGCAGGCGCGGCGCGGTGGTGTGCGTGCGTGCGCACATGCGGGCGGGCGGGCATTAGGAGGCAAATGGGGGAAAGAATTAAGAATGTCAGGAAGGAAGCAGGGGAGCATCGGGAAGGAGCAGGAAGGAGCAGCTAAAAAAAGGGTAAGGAGAAGGGAAAAGAAGGGTCTTTACAACCTTGTCAGGAGCAACAGGGGGCAATCATGAAATCAGGCAGGATGCGCAATCATCGGGCTATGCGCCGCCGTATCTTCGCGGCAACCAACTACTGACCTCGTACTCCTTCAGTGGAGGGCTCTTGGAACCGCAGCAGGCCTCCCAGTTGGGCCTGCCAGGGGTGGAGGGAGGGAGGACTTTTGGGAACCGCTGATTATAAAAAAAAACAGTGGCGGTGGTGGTAGTAGTGGTGATGATGGTTGCGGTGGCTTGCATTGTTTTCGGATGCTTCGATGGCACCAGAGAGTTCCGCTGTTTAGACAATATGGCCTCGGTCTCAAGGACTCTACTCAGAGCAGGAGACCACAAGTCCACGGCGATTACGCAGATGTAAGACATGGGAAAGGGAGCAGTAGCCAGAGGCTGGCTGTACAGGGCCCTACCTACCCAAGCAGGTATTCCAGGTCCGCACGGAAGCCGGCTGTGCGGTACATAGCCTTTTGATGATAAAATGTTTTAAATTTCTCCACATCTGGTCCATGAGGTCGGGGAAGGAAAGGGTCTTCACGCCAACATACAGGGCAGTTTTACGATTACTTGGAGCTTGCCTGAATCGCCATTCTTGAGCGCCTGCCGCAAAATAGCCAAGGACAAGTGAATAAAGGATAATCGTGCTCAGATTGTGTTTGCAGGCTTACCTCGTCTAACGCTTGCTCAAGAGCAGCGAAAACGTAATAGAAGCGAGACAGCGCCTTTGCGTAAAGCTCCTTATCAGTTAGTAACGCTATCAGCTTTGCATTTACTAGCGAGTTGCTTATGCTATGAATCCTCTTGGAGGCCTTGTTCAGTCGTTTCGAAAGGGCTTCACTATCGGCCATACCGATGAACAGGCTTTAGGAACGGGTTATTCTGCGCGTAACATGGACGTTGCAAATGGAAAGTTGCCACTCAACCTTCATGCCCTGATTCCGGAAATGGTGAAGTGGCCGGAGAAAACAAGTCAAATGTACGACGGCGTTGCGGACTGCAGGCATACCTCGTTACAACTAATGTAAAATACTGTCCTTCTGGCTGTTTCTCCGCTCGTCTGGCTCCATGAAATACATGCTGCATCATTTACGAATACGTTGGATGGGAAGCGCCGTTGTTTGCACACACTACTGCACGAATGGCTATTCCCATAACCGACAACCGTTTTGCGTGTGACAGGATCGATGGGTTTGCCCAAGCATGGCAGCGGCTATATCTCGCCAAAACAGCACGTCACGCTGATGCGTTTCAGGGTGTGTGTTTGGCCTTTGGCGGTTAATCGACCGCACGGTAGGGAACGGTCTGCCCGGTGGTGCCGGGTCTGTGGGAACCGGCAAGCTGTTGAAGATGAATGTCATGTGCTGCTAGATTGTCCTGCGTATGCGAATATCCGTTTGAAGCTTTGGGACCTGGGGGTTACTCCTGGGGACCGCATGATCGAGATTATGGGCGTCAAGGATCAACGCGGGTTAGCGCGCGTCCTGGACGACATTAGAAGATGCAGGTTGCAGTACGTTGAAGATTAATCAATCTGTTATTGTTGGGTATTGGCATTTCTCTTTTTTAAGTTCCTGTTTCCAGTTTGGCGGTTCATGAGCCTTTTGGCTCGTCTGGACCGTACAAGCTTGAAGCTTGTAAATGTAAACGTAAACGGATCGATTCAATTACACTCGATTGCACTTTCCCCCCTGTGGCGCGGCGATGTTGTTTGCTGCAGATTTGCGTAGACGTGTACCTTTTAGCAACGTTAATACTCAGCAGGTTGGAAGGTCAGCAGCCCAGCCCTCACGTGAACGCTCCATGTTGCCAGTATCTGCTGCCCGCGCAACAAAGCCCCGCATAAACAGACCCTGCTCCGCCCTCCCATACCCGCAAGCCCATAAAACAAGTCTTAGTCCGCGCAGGAAGGCCTATATACCCCTATGTCACGCCATATGGCATGCTAACAGACACAAGAAATGCGGATGGCTCACTGTGGTGATAGCTACGAATTAAGAGCCTTCCTTAAAAGCTCCTGCTTGGCTCAGCTGGCGAAGTCCGGCGATCGTGGCAGGCGAGGAGGGGCTGGGGACGGATCCCTGTCAAGCCTGACGGTAACAGCACTAAGGGCGGACCTTACGAAATGCTGTATATATATCCTCTGACAATCCTGCTCCTCTGGCAAAGTGCGTCACGAGGTGGATTGTGAACGCAGGCCTGTTACATAAAACGCTCATGCAATTTTACGGCAGGAGATAACCGATGCCCTGACCAACCCGGAATGGGAGGGTTGGGGAATCTCAATGTTACGACTGTTTTCCTTCTTGGAGTGCAACATTTGGAGCGGAATACCGCAAGAAGTCGTGGGGGTAAAGGAGCGTGTTGACTGGTTGTTGAGTAGACCTCTACCCGAAGGAGCGATGATAACGGCACTAAGAGAGCGTTTGATGAGCGGCTGGGACCATACGCGTCTGACTGTCTTGCCAGAGGAGTACCCATCAGATGGGAAGCAACCGGGAGTGCAAATGGCGAAGTATAAGCACTGGATGGGGCTGCCCTTTTCGGGAGCCGCAGCCGTCATGTGGCCAACACATGCTAAGGTTTTCATTCCTCGTTTAGCACATCGTAAGCTAATGCAGTTTCGTTTATGTTGCTGGGCTTTGGAGGCACACAGAGCACGAAGGGGCAAGTACCATGTCCCCAGGGGGCAGCGGTTTTGCCACTGTTGTGGTACTAATAGCCGAATCGAGGATGAAGAACACGTGTTATTGGAATGCCCAGCCTATAATGATATTTCGTGCTGAAGAGGGATTCGATCATCAACAGTGCTTTGTTGATGATCGAAGTTGGAGGCCATGAAATGGGAACCCTTGCGTCTTGCGAGGATGTTGGAACGTATGTGGGCTCACCGAAACTCAATTACCCCATTTGGACGCTAGCCTGGGCTGATGTGCGGTGTTTTCCTTCCCTCCGTGGCTTTTAGGCGTTGTAGTATTGCCCTTGGGCCTTCGGCTCGTATGGGTAGTCTTACAGGTATGGGGTCACGCAACCCCAACCATGTAACACACACACACACACAGCTCAATCAGCTCGCCTGCGGACCACGGGAGAGTCTTTTCCGTACTTGACCGTTGGCGCGGCCGTTAGTTAACCGTTGGCACATGTGACGTGGGGTTCTGGTGGAGCCATATATAGGCTTGGCCTCCAGCTTTCCTCTGGAGCGCTGGTTGACCAGGTTCTGACGACCCCTGAATGGTCATAAATACGTGCGCAATAAGGCACAGGCGTGCTCTACTGGCTAATTCAAAAACGCACACGATGTGGAGTCCTGCGGTGGTGCGAGCGACGTCGCGTCCAGCTTTCTCCAGCAGATGGCCACCAGGAGACGGCGATGCGCCGACGCATCCGAGGACCGAGACGCGGCTGCACGGCCGATGCTGCACGTTTGACAAATTGTTTTATTACGGCCTTTAGTATCCTAGGCGCTCCTCCACGTAAGGATGTGACACAGCAGTAAGGGGACCGACATAGAAAACCCCCACATCAAAGCTCTGCGACATCAGAGCCCCTTTGTGCCGTTCTCAACCTGCACAAGAGACAGCGTTCATCATACAGCCCACCAATAGTACGCAGAATAGTAGAATAGTAGTCCGTATTGAAACTCGAAACGTCGGTTACAGTATGTTTGAGCGTTGGGACCCTTCCTCTTGAGCTCTCTTCCAAACCAAACCATTAGCGTTCCCCTTCTTAAGGGCGCCCGACTACGTACGACGACACGTCATCTGGACGAACAGATGCATCCTACAAGTAAAAGAACCTCCCTCTCACTTGTCCGACTGAACAATCTAGAGACAAAGAACTACGCAGTCACAACCATTCTAGCGTGTGCCACCCAGTAAATCCTCAGATGACTATCCACATCCGCATCGTGAGAAATGTGAACTCATAAACTAACTAGGGCACGTGACACAACCAACCAACCAACCACGTGCAATTAGGTTATAACCGCTACGAAGGTCTAACATTCGCACCATCCACACGAACAGAGCTCACAGCGTGGGGCGGTCAGGGGGCAGTACCTGGGAATAAAGGAGGTATCTATCACTACTACTGCGTACCATCCACTTACAGTCAGCTGGATGAATGTCTGCCCCTCTGCCGTGCAAATCAGGGAGAGAAGTTCCGGCAATTTCTTGGAACACAGTTTCCCAAGCGGCACTTCCAAACCTACTTTCTTAAGCAAAAAGCCTACTCCCTTAATATCGCGTGCGCGGATATCACATTTGCTTGCGCAGCTATCACGTTATCCGCAGGTTCCATCCGACCTCCGCCTTACGATCTTTTCACGGCATAGAAAAGAAATCGGGATTTACACCGTCCCAATGGCAGGCAGCGATACCCGAAGACCCACCATCATTGCTAAGCTTACAAATACAAAACGATTCGGAAGGTTGCGATTGCCGCTTGGCAGCCCGCTTGAAAAGTACCCAAGCACAGCTCTACAAGGCTCGCTTTGGCGCCTGCTCGTAGAACGTCCCAGCGAAAACGCTACAGGAGAAGCAGCAGGAGGCGGTCCACAAGAGGCGCTATCAGAGATTCAGGGCAGCAAGCAGCGCACAGTCGCGCTCATGCATCATGTGGCTTGACTCAGGAAGAACAATGGATCGACTAAAACAAAGGTATCCGGTTGAATCCGTTACAATTTTCATTGGTTTACGGGCTGCACAAGGCATGAACATACACATGTGCATGAAAACCCAACACCTGAAGTTGCAAGCTCGGGCCTGCATCATATTCATGCGGCACGCACATACGATGTGACACTCTTTACGTTTTTTTTCCAAATCGCCCAGCGAAACCTATTCCCAGACACCCCTTTAGCGAATGCATAAATACCCTGCGGAGCGGCACAGGCCCGGATTCCTGGCCCTTGCGATCCTCATGGCCTGCGCCACGAGGCGCCTGCCCCACTAAGCTCACGACTCTTTTCCGCCCTGCCGCGTGGTACTGTGATGCCAGTCCCCACACTAAACCATCCAAGCACTCACCATACAAGCAGGAAGCCGATCCCTGCCGGCGTTGCGTGCTTGTCCCAGATGAGTACGTTGATGACGACGGTGATGATCTTGCACAAAATACCCACAATGGTGAACAGCGTGGCGGACACCGTATCACGGAGCAGGTAGGCGCTGTGCGACATGCAAATGCCCATCAGGCACGACAGCAGCACCGGCACCCAGACGTTCGACGTCCAGACTACAGAGCTCAGCCGGTCCTGCTCGCCCGCAAGGGGCAGTGCGAGCAGAAGAGGTCCCAGCGCAATGGCGTTGGTGTAATACACTCGACTCCAGTTAGTCATCTGCATACGCGCGTGACCCAGATCCAGCAGACCACGGCGAAAAGGATGGCGCGAAATGAGCCGTAAGTTTGAGGACGACGATCGGAGGATCCAATAGCGCGTCACAAGTGCGGATTTTAATGCAAAAAGCAGCTTGCTTTCGCACAAAGACACAACCAAAATCATGTTAACGTCGAAACTCCGAAAGGGACGTCCAGTGGAAGAAGAGACGTCAAGCCAACAGGGCCCAGCTTGTCGCACCTTGACGGTCTCGCACATGTGCTTGACGTAAACGGTGTCGAACGTGAAGAACGCATACCTGCACCAGACGAGGAGGAGCGTTAACATGTGCCTATGTCCCTTACTCAGTAAGGCGAAAATGGACGCCACGGGACTGATGTCATGCGCGCGGAACACGCATGCTTCTTGGACAACATCGATAGAGTGAGAAAAACCCGCTAGTATTCGGTTGTCTGACATATTTTGCATTGCTGCCATTAAGGCCGGCATGACCGCGGTCGGCACGCCGACCGTCGCAACTTTGTCACATTCGGACGTTGGCGGCGCTCTTTCCTTATACACCGGCCAGTATTGGAAACGGTGGATGTCCACATGCTTATACCCAGATCGGGAAGCAAAAAGTAAACCTCCTCATCCATACAATATACCTAAAGAGGTCTTCAAATATCCACAAGAGTAACATCACGTGCAAGAACCCCACGCCCATCCGCCTGGCCCGACACCACGTTCCAGCCGCCAGTACAACATGCCCAAAGTGACACCAGGTTCTAGCCGCCAGGACGGCATGCCCGGAGCATGTACTACTCACCAAAGCAATAGCCAGTAGTAAGCATCAATCTTGAAGTCGCTGTCCACCAGTACATATCCAAAGCTACCCGACAGGAGCACGACCAGGCTGAGCCATGAGCGCATTGTTGGCAGCGCCCTCCCAAGATATATGTAGTCACAGATCGACAAGATCTGCAGTTTGCCAACGCATGTGGGTTATGATGTATGCGTTCATAATGCCGACACGGCATGGTGTGCATGTGCAAGTCCATGCCATGCGACGGCACGTAAAAGGCAACAGCAGGCAGCAGTCCAGGTCGGCAAACACCCCCAAATGATAAAATCACACGGGCGATCTGGGTACAGCCCTGTGTTTGGCGCTCCCTCATACCCACGCACTAGCCGCCAACGCGGAAACGCCTCCAGCTCTACTCAACAGAACCATAACGATTTGCCAAACGTTTGCACAAAGTGTCATGGACGCACCAGCGGTGTCGTAGACCGAAACGTTATGAACGTCTCCACATTAGCGTGTTGCAAAACCTTAATGTTGGCGAAGATGGTACCAAGAAACCTAGATGGCACAGGTAGAAAACCGTCAGGAACACCGGTTCTAGCCTTCGAGCCCCATGAACGCGAGAACCGAATGAAGTCCGGAATGCAGGTTTTGGTCTAAACTGTCAACCATGTACCTCTCAACTACGGTAGATGTGCAAAATTACTGAGATACGCTGTTTAGGAAAGGTGAATATCGAAAGACACGTGTTACGTACCCGACGACGACCCAGACGAACTTCTTCAGCTTATCGAAGTCAATTGCTTCAGCTGAAACGACGCCGACGTAGTGCCCCAACGTGACAGCAAAGGCAGAGAAGAATAGTTGGAGACATAGTAGAGAGATCGGGCAAGGAAAGTGGTAGATGGCGACCTTGTTGATCACAAGCATAGTTGAACTACATATTGCGTAATAGAGGATCACGATCGAAGTCAACCCAAAGCCCCCAAGGCTGAGAGATTTCGCCGAGGTCATGAGGTGCTTTCCAGCCTCCACATCCTTCCTGCCCTCCAGCAGTTTTGCCTTCTCCTCCTCTATGCCACGCTCCTTGTCACTCATCTCACAAATCGGCTTGCTAAAACAGGAGAGATGTCTATTTGTCTCGTTGTATGTTCTTCAAGTTGTCGCTTTCCAGGTTAAGGTCCGCTGTCGATCCTCAAAAGCGGCAAATAATAAGCGCACAATCCTGAAGATAGAAGGTAATTTTTCGGTCTTGCCGTACAGTTGTAACAGCGCTGTCGATTCCAAGTTGCCAAAGGAGGCTAATACTCTCTTTCGAACAGCTAAGCTCCTTTGGTGGCCTTGCGTTCAGCTTTCAACCTAATCATTTGCATCCCTTTGCCTTTTCTGGGTCCTTTGGGTCTATTGATCGTCGTGCGCTCCTAACTCGCTTGGGTCTTACGGCCTGTTTAGATTGTAATCATGATGATCACCACCATCCCAGTTGCCGCGGACAACATAACATAACATTATGCAAAGTGCAAGTCTCTAAGCAAACCCAATTCCACATTGAAAAATGCACACGACGTTCCATCTTTGCTGACCGAAAGCCGTTTCCCTTCCGTACATTCCTTACGAATTTAGCAAAACACAGATGCAAACGTGTAACAATTTGTAAATCTGTCATGTTCATTAGCTTACAGTAATTCGCGCAGGGGCATTCACTACATGTATCGAAAAATTCGAGGATGCACTGTTGGGACGCAGGCTTCACAGCCCAAGCAGAGGATCAAAAAGGGCGCCCTTGCTCTGTCTAAAACTCTGCCATCTCTTTCTGTGGTCTGCCCAAGGCACCTTCATCCTGGTAGAAAGCCCTTTACGGTGCCCCAACGTGTCACCCCGATCCAGGTGTGGTGTGCTGACAGCCTATCGGTACTCCTAATCCTCGGCTTGTTTTTCTCTTTCAGCAAGTAAAACGTGACTCCAATAACATTGCTTCCACCAAAACATGGCTATCGTGTCACACGTCCAACCTCGCGAGGTTGGAAATCTTAAAATGTGCGCGAGCGCGGTCGAACGCGCAGAAGCCAAAAAGCCTACACTGCTGTCCGAACTCCGTCCCCAAGCCCAGTTGTGCAGAATGCAGTGCGCACCCTGAACTACAATTCCGTCTAACCTCCTATCCATATCCAACTTCCCCCCTTTCTCCTAAACCCACGTACGCACGCTCACAAACTCACACTCACACATCTCATGCACGCACATCTCAGCCTGGTAAAACACACCACCATGCATGCAGCCGGCAGCAGGTGCGCCGCTTTTCACCCACATCAACACGGCCACGTACATCACCCCAAGAGCGCTAATGCCGGGATCTCAGTAAGCATTCCGCAAAGGGCCATTACCTGCCGTACAAACGTTTCACACGCTTCGCAACACGATGTCTCGCTCTCGTTGAGATACCTTTGCGAAAAGCACGGCAGGGCCAGATGTAAGGAATATGCCATACATCATGCCATACATCATGGTTTCAAAACCCCGCAAGCGAGCCTTCGCGTTGTTCGGCGGCAGTTGCCGACGTCGCCGCCGGCAATGATGACGTCGTGACGAGAGCATGGCCTCGGGCCGATTTCTGTCGTACAGCATCACAGCGACGCGGGTATATGTAAATGCTTCTGTTGCTGCTGCTGCTGTTGCTGTTGTCATTGCTTCGCACCTTTCTTTTCGAACTGTTGCTCGGTTCAGCGCTGCACGCCGGGGCGGGCGGGGGAAGGGGGGGAGAAACTCGGCCCACGAGCCACAGCACCGCGATCACTGCCATCACCACCACCACCACCACCACCACCGCCACCACCGCCACCACACCACTTCCACCGACCGCAGCATGAGCAGCACTTACCGGGGGGTCACCCAACACCGCCGGAGGTCGAGGGGGCGGCGGCAGCAGCAACTCGCGGTGCCCGTCCTCGCCGGCGTGATGTAATGCTGCGACTGGGACTGGGCCCTATGCTGGCGGTGATGCTGGCAGGCAGCGGGTGGGACATATGGGACGGTACGGCAGTACGGCAGTACGGCGGGATGCGGGCATGGGCTGCGGAGGGCATCACGACGGTGAGACGGAAGAGAGCAACTTCTCCCCCCCTTCCCCCTTAGGGGGGGAGGGAGGGGGAAGGGGGGAGGGAGGGTGCCCAGCGGTACGGCGGCGGCAGGGCAGGGGCCGGTACGTCGTACATGGGGGAATTACCCAATAATCCACGGAAATGCATTATCATATAGGTCAACTGCCAACCGACAACCGTCCAAACTGACGTCAGCTGCTGCTGAACGAGTCACGAGAGACATGCAAATCAACCATGCAGGCCCCCAAAGTAGCTCCGGAACCTTGGGCTCCCCAACAGAGGTTCATCATCATCGACGTATTCTCTACATGCCGTGTCTTGTAGCGCCCTTCCTGTTTGGAGGTGCGGGTGGATGTGCGGGTATCCTCACCCCCCCCTCCTCACCCCTCCTCCTCACCCACCCTCCTCACCCCTCCTCCTCACCCACTCTCCTCACCCCGTCCTCCTCACCCACCCTCCTCAACCCCCCTCCGCCCGCCTGCAGGTGTTCGTGGCGGGTTCCACGGGCAGGACGGGCCGGCGGGTGGTGGAGCAGCTGCGGAGGGCGGGGTTCCTGGTGCGGGCTGGAGTGAGGGTGAGAGGCGGCCGTGCGTGCGTGTATGTGTGTGTATGTGTATGTGTGTGGGGAGGGAGGCCTGGGTTGGGGGTTGGTTACTGGCCAACGTCACCATCACGGTTTGCCGTACGTGGGCGGCCGCCGCGTGTACGGCCATCACGGCGTTGTTCCACCTTTGCTCTGCTGCCTGCTCTGATGTCGGCTGTCGGCGGCCATCACCGGTTCGCATGGAAGCTCCTTCTCCCCCTCCCCTCCCCTCCCCCTGCCTAACTACCTGCCTGCCCTACCTGCCTGCCCTACCTGCCTGCCCTACCTGCCTGCCCTACCTGCCCGCATGCCCGCAGTCCCCCGAGAAGGCCCTGGCACTTGGTTTCGGAGCGGATCGGGGAATCACAATTGTGGAGGCTGACGTCACCAAGGGGGTGGAGTTGAGTGCTTGGACCTGACCTCTTTACCGTACCAGTAATAGGGCGCCGAGGGGGGAGGGGTACTGGGCTCCGGGAGGCAAGGGGAGTGGGGCGGGGAGTGAAGGGGGGAGTTCGTGAACACATGGTGTGCATGTGGGGGGTGGTGGTCCAAGCCGAGGGTGGTAACCCACAGGTCAGATTGCTTTTGACTCTTTTCCAAACATCAGCAGAGCAGCTTCGGATTCGAAAGTGTTTTTTAACATATTCTGAGGCTGGAATGGAAATGGAAATGGGTTTGTAAGACTGTATATGTGTGCGTGTGCGTGTGCGTGTATGTGTATGTATGCATGTATGTCTTGTGGCTGTGTGCTGCTGCGCTTGCAGTGTGCTGGTAGCTGCCATAGGTAGCGCTCAGGCGGTGATCTGCGCCACGGGGGCGGCTGGTTTCGGATCCAACGGCGCGGCCCGAGTAGACGCGCAGGTACGTGTGTGTGTGTGTGTGTGTTGCGTTTGTCTGTATGTCTTGGGGGTTGAGGGGGGCCATTGATTGGGGGAACGGCCAGTCCCACAGCAGTCGGCCGGTCCCCCGGCCCCCCGCCCCCGCCCCCGCCCCCGTGAAAACACACACACACACAATACACGCACACAGTTCCGAGGAGGGGGCATTTCCGGGACTCTCTTCTGGGGGCTGTTGGGGTCCACGAAGGTCCTTATACCCTTCATCATCCACCTCCACAGCATCAGATGCCCCGTCAGCGCCTGAACTCACACCCACACCCACACACCCACCCACACCCACACACCCACCCACCTATATGCTATGTCATGAACCCCACAACCCGCCCTCACACCATACACACAACCCGCCCTCACACCATACACACAACATGTACACACACACACACCCCACCTGCATCCCCCCACCCCCCCAGGGAACCATCAACCTCGTGAATGCGGCGCTCGGCTCCGGAGTGAACAAGTTCGTACTCGTATCAAGTCTGTTGACAAACGCCGCGGCGGTTGGCCAAGCAACCAACCTCAACTACCTCTTCCTCAACCTCTTCGGCGGAGTCCTAATACAAAAACTCAAGGTTCGAGGACTTTGCACGTGTTTCCCCCGGCCCCCACCCCCGCTCAACCCCTCTTCCCCCCTCAGGATGAGAGACCTGAACCCGCAGCCAGGGAAAAAGCAGTAAGGTCCCCGAGCCCACTGCACCCCACATCCCTCCCCCCTTCCTCCCTTTCCATGTCGTGAATTCTCCGGCCCCCCCGCCCCGCGCACCTTTACCAACTACGGCCAAATGCACTTTCCCATACACCTGTCGTACAAACGCCGTACATGTGTCCGTACACGCAGGCTGAGAAGTACCTCCGCGCCAGCGGTCTTAACTACACCATCATCAGGCGAGTGTGCAGGAGGGGGGAGAGGGGGGGGGGAGGGAGGCCCAGCACTGTCTCTTCTCGAACTCCCGTCCCTCTTCCCCAGCGTCACTCATCCCCCGTGGTTCGTCTCCCCCCTCCCCCCCCTCCCCCCTACACTCTTGCCCTGGCAGCAGCTTCACTCGTTCGTGGTTCGTCTTCCCCTCCCCCCTAACCTCAGGCCCTGGGCTTACCCTGGTCACCTTGCCAGGTGCTCCCTAGGCTTCCCTCCCGCGTGCATCACCATAACCATGTGTACCCCGGGGGCCCCTCCCCCCGCATTAGAGGCCTCAGCCCGTTACAGCTGGAAACAGACAAACGGGAGCGTCTCCTTCCTAACCCCCTCCCTTCCCCTCCTGCCTCTACCTCCCTTTTTTCAGACCGGGGGGCCTGTCCGACCAGCCAGAGGCCGCAGTGGGCAACCTGATCCTGGCCCCGGAGGACACCCTGTTCGCGGGGGAGGGCGACCCGGGGAGGGTCATATCACGGGACACGGTCGCGGAGGTGGCGGTGCAGGTGTGCGGGTATGTGCTGGTGTGTGTATTTCTGTTTGTGTGTTTGGGGGGGGCAGGTAGGGGTTAAGGGAGGTAGGGGTTTAAGGGAGGTAGGGAAGTAGGGAGGTAGGGAAGTAGGGAGGTAGGGAAGTAGGGAAGTAGGGAAGTAGGGAGGTAGGGAAGTAGGGAAGTAGGGAAGTAGGGAAGTAGGGAAGTAGGGAAGTAGGGAAGTAGGGAGGTAGGGAAGTAGGGAAGTAGGGAAGTAGGGAGGTAGGGAAGTGCGGACTGTGTAACTTTTCCCAGGGTAGCGTCCATGCATCCCGCTCCCTCCCCACCTCTAGGGATGTCCTACAAGCAAACCCCCGTGGGCCCTATCCCCCTTGACGCCCGCCCGCCTTGACGCTGCTGAACGCACGGTTGGCCACCATCTCCCGCCCCGCCCCGCCACCCCCCCACACACGTCGCCCAAGGCCATTCGCCAGCCGGGGGCTAGTAGAGACCTGGTGCTGGAGGCAGTGGCCAGTCCGACAGCGCCAAGGATCGAACCGGAGACGTGGTTTTCAATAAGGGCCGTGTGAGTATCTGTGAGGCGAAAAGGCAAGACATGCCAGACATGATGTGATATCATGTAATCTGATGTGCGACGGGCGATGTGCACTTTCCGATGTTGTTTCCTGCTGGCCGGGTAGTTATGGCTTGCGGGGCGGCGGTAGCCGGTTGTCTGTGGGGGCCCTGTGCGTGTGCGTGGTTCTCCCGGTCGCAGGCATGGGCTGCCGGCAGGGGTTATTACAGGGCGTGATGATCGCAAGGGTTTGTTTGACGTGATGGCGGACGTGATGGGTGGGCAGCTGCGCAAGTATCGGTGTACAAACAAGGTACTACTTGGATTCGAGTAACATAACTGACTGGTTCGGCGTGGAGAGGGGACGGACATGGTGGAGGGGTGATAACCGAGATTTACGTCTGCATGGTCTCTCATGCCCCCGGGGTGCTGGATGGAGGTGTGCCAAATCAGGCGGAGCGGAATGAGGGCTCACAAAGGGGGTGGGGGGGAGGGACTGCTTGTGCCCTTATTACCTGCAGATCCCAACCCCAGCCCGCGGCAACTAATATGGCAAAATAGCAACATATAAGCCAGGTTGTGCCACCGAGGGGAGCAGCAGTCGCCAGCGAGACCTCACGAAAAGGAGAGGAATCGTGCTTTTGGTTCAATGTACGACAGACAGCTTAGCCTTTGGAATGCATGTCCAAAGCTGCTCCACGCGGCAGAAAGCTCCAGGGCAACGCAACGACATGCGAACAGTGATTGTTTTATTCCCGTCGTCGTGTACCAGCCACAGCCGCAATACCAGAATAGCTTATTGCTTACGAAAAGTTGCCCAACAAGCCCAAACAGGAAGTGCAAGCAAGGCCCTCTATGTCTCTCTATGACACACACACACACGCACACATACACACACACGTGCGCGCGCGCGCACACGTGTTCTAGCTGCATAAATGGTGAGGGCCTGGCCCAGCACACATGCACAGCATCGCGAACTAGGATGACGGGGTGGAGGTGGCAGCATAGTGGTGATGGCTGCACGATTGTAGCGAGTCCAAGTATGATATGCGCAGATTTGTCCGAGAAGACGTGCAGCAGGGTGTTCTCAACGTAACTGCAGCTGTAGCCGGGTTGTATGGATGCGTTGAAAGTAGTGGTACGGCGAAGTGTCGTATAGGGCAGTCCGTAATTCCTAGCACCTAGCACTAGTGTCCAGCCTTGCTTTTACCGCAAAAAGCCTGTTGCTCCGCTGTGAGAATGCGGCGCGTGGACATGGGATTGCGGCTTTGGGCGGTGCGTGCAGTCGATGAAACCATCAATTTACTGTTTTCCTGGCGCAAGCTCGCCGCCTAGGGGCTCGAAAGGTTGGAGGGCTTGGGGTTGGAGGCATACGTAGCCGCCCCGCTTAATTATATATGGCCCTAAAGGGCTGCAACACTTTAAGAGCCAGGTGGACGCCTGCCTAACCCTCCTCATTCTTTTGTATTAAGGGTTCATGTTGTTGACGGTAGCTAGTCCGACAGCGCCACGAATTAATCCGGAGATGTTGTATTAGGCCCTTATGTCAAGGAGCCTAATCACGGGTGCATACCTGCAAGTTGTTAAACCTGAAATTGAACGAATTGTGCCGTTGCGGCTGCACGTTTTGAGGCTCGCCCGGCTGCAAAAGCAAAAGGACAGGACAGGACTGGAAGGAGACGCGTGGATGCCGCCCAAGTGCCTCTACAGCGAAGGTTTCCATGGCCTGCAGGATAAGAGTGGATCCTGATTCCTCATCATCACCAGCACCACTTCTGTGTCATCTGCATACTGGCAAGCGCTGATGACAGGATTTGGGTCGGATGATTGCAGCTTGATTCCCACCTTCTGGCTCCGGAACCAGCACTACGGAACCAGCCTCGGGTAGAGCACAACGGGAACGGACTGGTTATTATTTATGATATTTATTGGTTTAAAAACGTTTCCGTTGGTCGATTCATTGTCAGAAAGTTTATGTCTGATCAAGTTTAAAACGGTCTCTCCCCCCCCACACACATACATACATACACACACCCATGCACGCACGCACGCGCGTACGTCTCGGCCATGGTTCTGTTCGGTGCGCGCGCGCGCGCGCACGTGCAGACTGGAAAGTCCCGTAACAATATATCTATAACCACCACCCTGCGGCACATTCGCCGAGAGTATACACAAGAGAATACATGCATTCATGCATGCGCGCGCGCGCGTTTCCGGGCGACACACAGCTAAGAAAAGCACCACACAGAAAGACGTGACACACAGACACGCAGCCCAAAGCCTCCTCGGCCCACAGCTCTGACTAAATCCACATTGAAATTACCCCCCTCCACCCTCCTTCCCTTCCACCCCTCCCTCCCCCCACATTCACCCCTTCTGCACATCGCAGAGGGGCGAAGGGAGGCTGGTGAGGCCCCTGGGTCCTATATCAGCATGGAGACGGCAAGCTCCCCCTAATGCCCTCCTCCCTCGACCCACCAGCGTACTCCACAGCGACATCGAATGATATCCATGCGAACCAGAGTGGAACCTGTAGCACGCCTAGTAGCAGTAGTAAAACGCCTGCTTCATACCTACTTCACTAATGCTACATCTTCCACCGCTACTGCTGCTACTACAGCCATCTCCCTTCAGGTCAGTGGCGACGATGGCCAGCGGCTCGTGTTCCGCGCTACGCCCTACCTACATCCCCCCTTCCCTCAGCGGGGGGGGAAGCAAATGCCCCCCCGGGAAAACAGACGCATACACATACACACACGTCCAAACAGACGAAGACCCTTCATTCCCCAGCCCCCCGACACACACTTACACCGATACATGCGTACTAAGCTTTACTTTTTAATGCGCACGCGATGTTGAGGAGTATGTGTTTTGCCCTTTCGCCGATAAGGAGTAAGTCATTACTCACACAAGTATAAAAGCGAGCTGCTGGGCAAGCGAGCTCCAGAGGGCATACAGGCCCGTGGCGTGAGCCTGCGTACGTGAGACAAACGTACACCGACATGCACGGGAGATACATACATACGCACGTACATATTTCCAAAGGTACGCACAGGCATTCTGCCATATAGTGTGGTCACGTGGTCTGTACGAACGCACATACACGCGCGCACACAAGGATCAACACACAAAGGGGAAATGGTACGTCACCAAGTACGGAGGTACGGGAATTAAGGCCGTTCTTTTATCACGTACCGAGTACGGAAGACCTTGGGATGCGGAGCCCAACGGCAACAACACCCAAACACACAAGCACACGCATTCGCTGCGCATCACAACCTCTGGGGAGAGAAGCAGGACGTGTTCAGGTACAAGACCTGTCGTGTTCAGTTCCATTTGTCCGTCCGTCTGCCTGTCTGTCTGTCCGCAGTCAAATAGATGCTGAGATATCGCGGGCGGGTGCTCATTCATGTTCAGATGGTGTGCAGCGAAAGTGCTGAGCGTGTTCCCGCGTCTAGGTCCCTCGTAAATAGGTGCTCACGAAGAGTCGAGGAGGAAAAAAAACTGCCAGCCACTGTCATCATGTTTTCATAATCAAGATAAAGCTCGAAAGATCACGTTAGACGTAGCAGGTTTTACGTAGCTGCGTAACCCGGGCCGCCGTTTCCGGGTCATCCAGCCCAACCCCACACACGCGTTGCAGTGCCGTACATGCCTTGCCCCATACCACTGACACTGTCGTAATTTTTCCCCCTTCCTCGCACCCCGGACCAACTGACGGGAGCGAGACAACGACCTGGGCGGTTCTTGTTGCACCTATGCGGAGCAATAGCAGCTGTGGAAGGAGCTGCAGCTTCAGCCCAAGCAGCAGCAGTAGCAGCTGCAGCACCTCTTCCCACAGCGAGACCTCACCGTCGCTTTGGCAACAGCGCGCGGGGGGCCCCAGGGGTCGATCCACGTCATAACGCTGCTCTTTCGCCGCCGTACAGCCGTAAATACCTTGGTCGTGAACTGGGCATGAATGCACGGGCCATCAACCAAACCAAAACCAGACAGCACACACAACAATAACGACAAACACCAAACGCCGGGTGGAGATCTGGAAGGTACACACCGGTCACATTTTTTGAATCCTAACCAAAGTTCTATCTCCCGTGCCTGGAGAGATTACAAAGTGAATCGCCGGCATCCATCTTACGATATCCACTTCTTGGCGTTCATAAGAATATAACGAAGTACCATCCTCCTAACCCCCCAAATAAACCGTCAACCACTTTCCATTCAGAATAATAACGAATAGCAGCTGGGATCGCTGTGCGCCCTCTCCCAACGGCCCCGTGACAAACCCAAAATCCCAAGCCAAGCCCAACGAACAAAACCGTCAACCGCCATCCCCTTCATTCCTTTTCCCTACAACAGTCATTTCCTCCAGACACCCAAAAGTGCGTTCAGAGTTCTCCGCCTGAAAGGCGCAGGGGCGACACGTCCCAACACCAACGCCCACTTCTTCTCTTCTCCCGTCCCTCCAAAACCCTTCAGTCGGACCGCGCATTTGGGCCGCGCCAGGTACAAAGCACCCCAACCTGGCGCGTAAAGATCATACCATACATCCACATGCGGCGTCCTTTTAAGAAGGATAAAACAGGATAGCAGCACGACAGGCGGGTCTTTCGGGGTGCAGAGAGCGCTTCCTAGACTGACACCGCAGACAGACAGACAGCACCTCCACTCCCTGTGCCCAAGCCCACCTACCCACCGACGGATACAGGACGAGAAGAGGAGGTACGGCAGGCTGCCGTTCAGCCTACAACGCCTCGGCAATAAGCGAAAGCTTTATTGATGTCATGAGTTGGCCGTTCTTCTCGACCTTTTCAAACTCCGGCTCCACGCGTATGTCGTAATTGTCCTGCTCAAGAAACAGCCGTGCGTTGCCAACGGCTAGTACGGCATTCGTGACGGCGTCGACGCCAATGGCCATCAGGGAGATCTTCAGGTTTTCGCGAATCTTGCCGGCGATGGCGCCGGCTACTGGCACGATTTTTGACCCCGACGCGACTGTCAGCGTGACGTCGTCGCCGTGTGTTGCCTGTTGTCGCGGTGTTCGCTCCTTGGCCACGTAGAACGCAATGAGGGGCTTGGTTCGGTCTGTATGCCGGAAGGCGGGCTGGAAGCTGAGCTGGAGGCCTTCCTTGCCGAGATCAGCGCGGGCGATGGCGATGGCCTTGACAGCCTGGTTGATGGACTGGCCTCCGATAGTCAGCAGGGCAGGGGGTTCTCCCACGCGACATGACTCGCAAATGCGGTGCGCTATGTCTTTAGCGTCCTGGGCTCCGCCAACCTTGATTGCGTTTTGGGGTGTTGCTGTGTCGTCCAGGGTTTCGCTGATTCGCGCGGCGCCGCCCTGACGGGGCAGACCCCGGCCGCCTTCGCTGCGACCACCGTAAGGCTGCATGCGTTGGCTTGGAATGCCCATGGAACCGCCAGGACGCGGAGCCTTTCCAAAGCCTTGCGCCTCAATTAGCTCGTCTAGCGAGGCGTTCAGGCGCCCGTCTGCAACGGACGAGATGGCGCGACAAGAGAGTTTTTATATAGGCAGGTTGTTGCGAACATTGAGTACAGACGAATTTTGAAAACAGCACGAGGTCTGTCGTGCTTGTAGCGTGATGGGTCGCAGTGATGGGCGTGATGGGCCTCCGATGAGGTTGCCTAAAGGCCAGTGCAACAGCAGGCACCCCACAACAGCAAACTTGCCACAAAAGACCTTACCTGCCATTACTAAATTGGTTTAGGGTCCTCTAGATCCACGTCAATTGAGGTAATAGGCTGGGTCGAGGAACGACAAGGAGTCTACGGACAGGACCAGTTGCGAGGCCTAGAAGAATATTAAACACAAAGAGGTGTATCCGGAAGGTTAGCACCAAATTGTATATGGAACTATGTGTATGTTGGTAAGGACTTGGACTGGGCAAATGTCATGTTGTACGGCGGGAGTGATAGTCCTTCTTTGAACAACGACATATAGCAGGCTTTTTCACGTACCGTTCATGTTTGACTGTACTCTTCCTCTACACGGTTTTACTTCTTTCGTTTGTTTCTTTAGACGGTTCGAATTCGCTTCGCGTGCACGTTCTGGTGACCTCAGCTGGTGACCTCAGCTGGTGACCATGAGCCATCAGGCTCTTTGCCCGAGGAAATGCCTTGCTGCAAAGCGTCTTCGCTCAAGTGATAAAGCGTTGCGTGTGCAAGCGGGCAGGAGACCTGGCCTTATGGTTCGAGCGGGCGTTGTCGAGTCACTGATCAAGCCCATCACAACCTTTGGAAAGGTGAGCGCTTTTAGGCTAGAGTGCTGCATGGAGATCTAAGCTTGCAAGGGCCGACGGGCTTTCTTGACCCTGCAAGGTCGCGACATCCATCCTTGAGCAATACCATAACTCCGCTTACGAGAGCCATAACGGGCTTGCTGCTTCTGATGTTTCGGGGAGACGCTTTCTACGGGTGCCTTCCCGGCGCCTCTTAACCCGCAGTGGAGGATAATGTAGGACTGCTTCACAGTCAGGACTATGCGGAGGCCATTGAATTGCGATCCCAAGAAAAACATCCCGTTCGCAGTATCGATCTCGATAAAGCCCTATTGTGATGCTCTACGCACTTCAATCTTTCCAGTGTACATTATGTGTTTCAGTGGCATGGCATTGCACCTTTTGCATGTTAGCCTTCCAAGGGAAAATGCCTAATGAGCATTTCCACTACCATCGCTACCCTCCACGAACACCATACAACCTTAACCATTTTTATCTCTATTCCGCACTGTGGATGGCATTCGTGATGTACGTTTGAAAACCGTAGAAAAGACTGCGACAAGGAGCGTTTATGTGTCGCTGCATGATCACGCTAACCTGCCGGTGCGGGCCCTGCTTAAACGGGCCCTGCTTAAACGCTTAAACGATTACACACATTACGCATCTAACCTCCAGCTCCCCAGAAGGCTCTCTTCCGCGGCCGGGGCGGAGCTGTATTTGTCATAGCCTATGCCAGGCCACCGAAGACGAGCTCAACTCCTTTCGGCTTAGGATGATTGTACCCGTTGGTCCTTAAGACACTAGCATCAGCTAAAGCGGTGTAAGAGGCCATTCACTTGACATACTCTGCATATATACATGTATACATGCAGTATGTCTATGCAGTATACCCATATGTCGTGCGTTGCGCGATTGATGCGAGCAGGTAGCCGACCTGAAATCCGGTATCGCAACCTTCTACGATGAATCGTCGGAGCTATGGGAGAATGTGTGGGGAGAGCACATGCACCATGGTACGACAATACGATAGGTCATGTGCTCGTAATGTCGTACACACCTCAACACAACGGAAGCCGTCAGGACGACACATGCGCGGTTGCCCTCTTATCACCCTTGATCCCATTTGGGTCGCGAATACACACTCTCATACACACACACTCACTCACCCTTTTGCCGCCTTTTCCTGTATCGCTATAATTGCTGCTGCAGCCACCCCGGTTCCTAACGCGCTTGCTGCTACTGCCACCCCAGTTTCTAACGCGCTTGCTGCTACTGCCACCCCAGTTTCTAACGCGCTTGCTGCTACTGCCACTGACACCAGGCTACTATCCCAAGGGCGCCCCGCCCAAGAGCAACCAGGAGGCGCAAATAGACATGATTGAGGAGACGCTCAAGGTGGGCCGAGGGGCTGGCGGGGGGCCCGGGCGCTAGGGATGAGAAGGGCACATTTACGTTTTAAGTGCTTTGGGATGCTGAGGAAAAGGGGGGGAAACGGGAGGGGGGAGGTGTGTGGTGTTGGTGGGCGGGTGAGTTGCGCAGTGTTTGAAGGGGCTGGGCGGGATAGTGGTTTCTTATATACGTTATACGCCAGTGTCTGAAAATAAGAGGGAAGGAGGAGTTGAGGAGATGTGCGTGTGTGTGTATGAGTTTTGGGGCTTGGGGGTAGAGGCGATGGATGGACATGTGGGAGGATCTGGACGTACGTGCCCAGGCCGTACAATCCATATTTATCAACGCTCCTCACCGGTGGTGTGACGCGTACGGCAGCGCAGCGGGTCCCCTCTGGACTCTGGTTTTCGGGTTATTGGTGTGCGGGTCGGAGGGGGGTTTCGGAGGAGGGTGGGGCGTAGAGGGCGTGACACCTCAAAAGCGTCTCACCCCCTTTTTTCATCATCACGTCGCTGTACACACATACATACAGGATATGTTTTACAATCATAATTCCCTCCTCCTCCTCCTCCTCAATGCCAGCTGACTTTGCGCATCGGCATTTGTTTCCGTTGTTGACTTCGCATGTATCTCCCCCCTCCTTTCCTTACACTCTTGCCCTGGCAGCAGCTTCACTTGTTTGTGGTTCGTCTTTCCCCCCTTTCCTCCCTTTCCCCCTCCCTCCCTCCTCCCCTTCACCGCATCTCCTCCTCTCCCTCCTTTCCCCCCTTTAGGTGGCGGGTGTCACGGAGGTCCGCAACGTGAGTGAGTGAGTGAATGAGTGAGTGAGGGCGCCGAATCACAGGGGGGGGGACTGACAACAGAGGTTGTAGTGTTGTGCGTGTGTGTGGGGGGGGGGAAAGGGAGGAGGGGGAGAGGGGGGTTCAGGGCGACCCGTGCTAGGAATTCAAGGGATGGGCGTCTGTTCTCCTGGTCAACTTACTTTCACACAATTCGACCACACACACACACACAAACACACACACAAACACACACACATGCATCACATATACACACACACAGACAGACAGACAGACAGACACAACCGGTTCTGGTGATCCTTTTGGTTTACGTCGATTAATGCTCTTAGTTATTGTCCATTTGAGTTTCTGAAAACATTCAATCCCTATTTGTGCTAAATCTTTTGCTCCTGCTTTAATCACTGCTTTTACCATGTATGTATGTATGTATGTATCTATGTAAACACCACCCACTGACTCCTCAGCCTCGGCCATCATCCCCCATCTGCCCCGTGACACACGTTGGTTTGCTTTCTTGCTTTTAGCGTGTGGTGACCTCTCCGGACTCTTTGACTCTCTCCAACACACACACACACGCACACCCGCACACACACACACACACGCACACCACTCGGCAATTGCGTCTGCTGATGTTTACATGCCGCCACCACCACCTGCCGCCACCGTCACCACTGCCACCTGCCGCCGCGGCCACCGCTACAGATGGTGGATGTGGGTTGCGGCATCGGCGGCAGCTCTCGCTACATGGCGAAGAAGTTTGGATGCCGCGGCAGCGGCATCACGCTCAGTCCCAAGCAGGTAATATACGGCAATGTACGACACTGTACGACACCGTTTTTTTTTCATGCGGGCAGCCTTGACGGGTGGTAATGAAGTAATGAAGTTTTTTTCCATGCGCACAACAGCCCTTGCACGTATATGTCCACCATCCCATACCCCCGGCGGCTCCCCTCTCCCCTTCTCCTGCGGCCATTCCCATCTCCATCCCCATCTCCATCCCCAACTCAACTCAACCCACACTCCCACAGGCTGCTCGTGCCAATGCTCTGAGCCAGGCCGCCGGTCTGGGCGACCGTCTTCAGTTCCAAGTGGCCGACGCTCTGTCTCAGCCCTTCGACTCGGACTGCTTCGACCTGGTGTGGTCCATGGAGAGCGGCGAGCACATGCCCGACAAGAGGTGGGGGCTTGAGGGCGGGCGGGGGCAAGGGAGGGGACAGGAGGTGGTGGGTAGGAGGTAGGGGGTGGCGGGGAGAATAGGGGAAAGATAAATTGGGCGGAGAGATAAATTGGTGTATGTCGGCATCTGTCAGCGTCTGCTGTCATGGGGCTGGCTTGGGGGATCAGGAAGAGTTCCCGGGGGTGGAGCTGTTGGAAATTGCTATGGAAAGTTGGTTGTATGTGGGAAAAGTAGGGGCGGCTGTATGGGGGAAGGTAGGGAGGGTAAGACGTGGCGGCGGGGTGGGGTATGAAAGGGGAATTTGGGGTGGGTCGGTTTGGAGGGAGGGCGGGTAGGGATGGGAGGGAGGGCGGGAGGAAAGGAGGGGTTAGGTGGCACACCGGACGCGGGGAATGAGAGTCAACAAATGCCGCTTAGATGCTTCTCAACGTCCCTCACCTGGCGCCTTTGTCACCCATTTTTCGCACACGAACACACATACATACATACAGACACACGGGGACCTCACCACCTCCACCTTAAGTCTTCCTCCCCCTCCCCCCTTCTGCCAGCGGCTTCACTCGTTCGTGGTTCGTCTTTTCCCCCCTTCTGCCCCCCCCCCGGACGCCTTTCGGTCAGTTCTACGTTTGATACTCTCTTGCCCTGGCAGCAGCTTCAATCGTGTGTGGTTCGTCTTCCCCCCCCCCCCTTCTCCCGCTCCCTCCTCCTCCTCCTCCTCCTCCCCCTCCTCAGGCGCTTCGTATCGGAGCTGGTCCGCGTGTGCGCCCCTGGTGGCTCCGTCCTGGTGGTGACCTGGTGCCACCGAGTGCTGGGGCCCGGGGAGGAGGCCCTCCAGCCGGATGAGCAGGAGCTGCTGCAGCGCATCTGCGAGGCCTACTACCTGCCCGCCTGGTGCTCAGTGGCGGACTACCAGAAACTATTTGGTAGGTGTCTGTGTCTGTGTGCATGTGTGTGTGTATGTGTGTGTGTGTGTGCGTTGAGGAAGAGGCGGTGAAGGAGAGGATTTAAGATTTTTCGGGTCGGGATGACCTTGCTTCTGCGAATTGATATTGTGGGGGATTTTGTTGAAACCTCCAAACGTCCAGGCGCTCTCCTCCTCCTCCTCCTTAGCCTCATCTCCGCTCCCTTCCTCCTCAGCTACTCAGCAAGCCTGCACACGGATGGCCGTGCAGGGCTGCTGAGCTCCCTGCCAGCCTCCCCCTGGCTGCTGAAATGTTGTCCTTTCGAAATCCATCATTCGGATATATATCGCCAAATATCGCCAATCCCTGACCCTCTTCACCATCACCACGGCAGCTGCAGCAGCTATATCCTTCCCTTACCACTGGCCTGTTATTACACTACCTCAACCCGACGCGACGCGACCCTACCTTGCCTAGCTTTGCCCATGACCCGACCCATGCTGGTACGACACCACCTTGCCCGTACGGCTACTCACATCATCCCGCAGAGGAACAAGGCCTGGTGGACATCCGGACACGGGACTGGTCGGAGGAGGTGTCGCCGTTCTGGGGTCGCGTCATTGCCAGCGCTCTGACGAGCGAGGGACTGTCGGGGCTGCTCAAGGCGGGGTGGACCACCATCAAGGGCGCCCTCGTGATGCCGCTCATGGCGGAGGGCTTTCGGAGGGGTCTAATCAAGTTCAATGTCATCACGGGACGCAAACCACCGGGAAACCACCAGTGAAAAGACCAGGACCACCGTTGAAGACCAGGACCACGACGAGGTCGATGGCAGCGACGGCGAAGATGACGTGAGCCTCAGAGATGATGCTGGACACGTAGGATGCGGAAAATGGCGTGCGTGTGTGTGCTTTTGTATGTATGTATGTATGGTATGTATGTATGTATGTATGTATGTATGTATGTATGTATGTGTATAACGCCGTTCCGCTGTGTGTTGAGGAACACATGGATATCCATATCCATACAGGCATCAAGCGGGAATACGTGATGATACGGGGAGTATATAATTCCAGTCCAGCGCCAGCAGCGAAGATTTATAATCGAAGAATTGTTTTATAATTTAAAAATACATAACGAAACGAGAAGTTTACATACATACGCGGGGTGTGTGTACGCTTACGTACGGTGGGGCCCAAGTTGTGCCCACGCACTGAGGAGTTGAGGAGGTAGCGATTGGCAAGCATACATGGATTGGATTGATTGAAGCTGTGTGGATAGCAAGCCGAGTGATTTGAAATGGTGTGCAAGGAAAGCTGGTTGTTGAAGGGGTGTGTAGCTGTGTGCTGGCGAAATTCTCAGGGGCATTTGGGGGAAGAGCTGTAGCAACAGCAGCAGCAGCCGTCCACATTCTACAACAATTTTGCATCATGGCGGAATATCGATGCGTTGCCTGTTTTGGACCATTTCCCCCACACCAAGTGCCTAGCCACCAACAGCCTCATGCCGGCGCCGTGAAGCTGTTTCAAGGCTTTCTTGTAACACGGGTATTTGCCAGGGGAGAGGGGTCCTCCCCTGGGCGGCACAACACCGCCAGAGAGATCTTCCCTTCCAGAGAGATCTATCACCGTGGTCCACGCCGTGGTTCGTGAAGAGTCCATCCGCAGGTTGAAGTACCGTGTGGTGCGTTTTTGATGGAGTGTCAAGCAGCCGGCGATCCACGCTTTGGAAGCTCAGCATTGATAGCAGTCAAAAGTAAAATACGCTCGATACCATCTTTCCAGTAAGGAATGGAAGCGTTGCGCATACACCAGACCATTCCTCATCCTGCGGCTGGAGCCCTTGATATCTTCCGGGAAAAGGATTTGTCCAACTAAGAAATTCTATTAACGGTCGCGCGATTCACAATCTGGACATGGCCACGCGGCTGTGCGGGTCCCGACCACGATGTCGGGGGGGGGCCCAGTACACGAACGGTTGATGTGCTGTCGACAGTGGAGAAGGAGCATGCGACGAAAAGAGTAAGATTACTGCTCATAAGACTACGCTTGGAGGGGGGTTGGGTTGACGGCCGTTCGCGGATCAGCTCAAGAGGCCTTCTCAAACCCTTATGGACCGCTATTGCCTAGGTCATGACACACGACGGTGTTTCAATCCCACCCTCCCTTGCTGAACACCCGTTGCTGGCCACCACCATGCAGCGATTATACAGCTTCCCAGTTTCTGGGGAGGCGGAGGGGAGTTTGGGCGGCGGTGGTGGAGACGGCGACGGAGCTGGGATCTTCAGCGCGCCTAGATTATGACGGCGTCCAGGACGTGAAGAATCTGGCCGGAGGAACGGATGGCACGGAACGGAACGGCTCGAACATGATGGCAGGGTGAAAGGGTTTGAAGCTGGCGATGCAATGAAATCGGAAAACGGGTTAGGGTGTCACAGCGCAGAAAGGAATCGTGCGGCCAGGCGAAAAATTGCCTTCTCGCGTTATTAACATACCTCCATACTGTGTACTAACTTTTACAGTACTTTTACTGGTCTTTGTGGAACTTTACACAAAATAAAACGAATTTTGTGGAATTTCGTAACGGGCTTGCATGCTCATGCTTCTGTGCTCCTGTCTCCTCGTAGAGTGCTTATCGCTAGGGCTGAGTGCAATGTGCCATATGCCGGGGAGGGGACCGGAAAACGACCGCTGCCGGTTGCCAATACACCGCGGAAGAGAGGAAAGCAGCCAAGCCACTCGCTGGCTGCGCGGCAACGCCCACCGCCTTGAGCGGGGACCAGGAGAAGAACACTAGCCGCGCAGCCACAGCGACACCACGCGCGACGCTGCCCAGCCAGTCAAAAAGGACTGGACAGTACAGCACCGAGACTGCCGGCAAAAACAGGGAGCCCCAGAACACAAAAGACGCCCCCACAACAGCAATCGTAAGAAGGAAAAACCCAGCACGATAGCCCGACTCGAATCCTGGAGTCGCCTAAGCCGGAGCCACCGACCGCTCTCAGGTCCCCCCCGCTAGAGCCGCGGCCACGCTGGTTTTGAGGAGCCTGATGGTCGCGCGGATGAAGAGATAGGAAAGGGGGAAATTGGCGAATGACAAGGCTGAAAGCTCTACTGAGTGGAGTCAGGATAACATCATCAGGAGAGCAGAAGCTGATAGAAGGGATCGCCACTGCGATAATGGTCGTACGATAGCCGCACAGAATTAGAGGCTCCGGTCGCTACGCTCCGTCTGCATCTAAGCCGACAATCATGTCATGGGCAAATCGCGATTGTGCGACACTTTGTGCTGCAATCGCATGTCGAGATCGCCGGAACGAATTGGATTTGCATCCAAAACAGAATTCAGCAATTTCTGTCAGCAGCAGAGTTTCACGTATTCTTTGAAATATCTCCAAGAATTCAAAGGTTATATAAAGAGAGCCAGCCCCAAAACCCAAATGCCAAATCGTAATTTTTGGTTTTGCAAATTACAGATTTTTCACCTAGTCTCCGGCAATACCGCTTAACACGTCGCGTAGCGAACGTAATTAAACATAACTACGTTCCTTATTATATTCCTATTCTAGTTAATAATCTTTTCCCTTACCCTCTGGTACGAGTTGAACGCCGCCTGCTACGCGGATGCCATCAACTAATGTAGTGAACTGGTAGTAACTGTATTCATCGTTTGGCACCATCGAGACTGGAAATGCAATCAATAATGACCAAGTTTGGTGTTGTGATTACGGGTGCCGGCACCCAAAACAAGGACAAGTTACACTCATGGACTACTGCTTAGGCGGAAGGACCTGAGAAGCTGAAGGAGGAAGAGGAGGAGGGAAGAAAGGATTTGCTCGCTCTTTACTGGAGCATGTCATTACTGGAGCAAGGAAAGAGCCAGCGCACTCCTGGCGACATGCAATATACATCACACCCCAGTACACCACACCACATCACGCTCTTACCTTATACACTATAATACAGCACTCCATTCCACATCTGTTGGTAGGTAATAAACACGTTTTTAAGTGTGTATACATAATGTCGGGCGAAGTGATGTGGAATACAGCTGGCTAAGCATCAAAGGTGCGTGTGGCATGTGGAGCATCCTGTGTTCCCTCTGGCAATTCACCTGTTTGTTTTGTGTTATTTGTAATGTGCTATTCATGAGACGATATAATAAACGTTATTGCAGCAAACCGCGATATTGCTACAACAGGTTTGTTACAAGCCGGCAGCACCAGCCCTAACTTGGACGGATTAGTCCAGAATCCAGCAGTCATATGCTAGGATAAGAAGAGACAGATCAAGCATCTTCCACAAATCGGAAAAAATCGGATTGGAATCACGCGCGCGTGAGGTTTAAAGGCCACAAAGAAATAAATTTGTCTATTCTGAATGCTGCTGCGTGCGCCGCCCTCCTGGCATATCCGCGCTCAATCTCAGCACGCGCACATTCACACGTTTACCTCACCTCACCAAAAATCACATTCACGCGCGCGCGCACGCCCCGTCATCGTTCCTTCCACCTGCCCCAACCCCCTTCGGACTCTGCCGACATCCCAGCGAATCATATCATCCGCCAACTGTTCAGCCGACTCAGCGCCTCTCCCCCGCCCCGCTGCATTCTACTGACCCGCACGGAGCAGCAGCGCAAACCTCCTGTCCCCCTTCTCCGTCCCTCCTCCACAAAAACAGCTATCCACAGCTCCGATACCTCTCTAGATGAGCCTTGGAAAAGAGTTCAATAAACCCATTCACACATTCCCAACCCTTTGCTTCGCTCCCGTCCCCTGCGCCACCTCACCGCCGTGCCCCCTAGCCGCCCCGGCCGCCCCGGCGCTTAGCCTACATATTAGTACTGATGGCTACAATCTTTACATTTCTCTCCACACCGGGGAGATAAGAGGTACACCTTGAAATCATCCTCGAATCGATAAAGGCGCCTCGCGATTCGTTGTCCTTTTATGGACACGCCGATGAGGGCGTGGTACCGATGTTCGGCATCCCACCAGGCGGGAACAGCACGTCGTTCACGACGTATAGCGCGCTCTGCTTTTGCGTGGTGGCGTTCGGCTGGGGATGAGGGAAAAGGGGCGACAGGAAGGGGGCAGCAAGGGCAGGAGGGGTGGAGCACAAAGAAGGGCTTAAGTAATGTTCAGCAAGAAGTTATAGTAGCAGCGGCAACAGCTTGGGGCCGCCCCTATCACTTCAACTGTAAGACAGATATGGCCCATCATCTCGCATCTGTGGGGCAAACAAAATCACGACCACCCGCACCTTGGAGAGCTACCCTGTAGTAGCTCTGGTGGGGCCCCCCCCAACATGCAAGTGAGACACACACGCGCACTCACCACGCCGACGGGAACGGGGCCCTTAAGATTGACGGCCTTGCCGCTGCAGGGAACCGTGGCGAATGCGAGTGTGGTCGTGTCCGGCGGATTGGAGGCCAGACTCATCGTGTAGCCGAAGTTAGCGGAGACCGATGGACCCACCAGCGTTACCGGCATAAAAATATACCTGCTCGCATCACCGAACGGAAAAGATAAGAAATATTCCGCTGCGTTGTACGACGGGAAAAATTCCACGTCAGGAATGACGGTGAATGCGAGGATTCTGCTACAGAAGTCCACGGCAGCCGAATAGTTGCCGAGGCAGTCCGAGTTCGTAAGAGCGCGTGAGGATCCCGAGGCCAAAGTAATGGTAACTCGCGGGAACATAGCGAACAGCGCATCTGTAGTCGGCGCAAGAACGGTGGCGATGGTCGAGGTGTTCTCGAAGTAGGCCCGGAAAGTGGTGTTGGTGCCCGGAATCTTCAGGACGGACGCAAGGCCCGCGTAAGTGGCCAGAAGGGGCTCCTTGGTGATGCCGTCCCAGATGCTGATGGCGTTGTACACATTGGGTGGCGGCGGCGGCGGCGGCGACGGGGGAGCGAAGTTGGCTGGCGGCAGAACGGCGTTAATCATGTGCGCATAGACGTAGCCGACAGAAGTGGGCGTGGGGGGCGGGGTGGTGTTGAAGAGGATGATATCATAGCGGTTCGGGACGAAGGTGCCGGCGGCGGGTGGGTACCGCGCGGTGACGTTGGTGACGGTGCCGTTGCCGGAAACCGTCAGAGTCTGGCTGTTCATCTCGGCCACGTAGAAGTACGGGTAAGACGTTACCGGGGTGCTGGCGCCGGTGTTGGCTGCGAAAGTGGCCGAGGAGTAGGCGCCAGAGATGACGTGCGCCTTGATGAGGTTAATGGCGTCGCCGAGGTTATCGGGGTTGCAGAAGTACGACAGCGTACGGCCGCTGGTAGCGAAATAGCTGTTGAATGCGCTGTCGATTGGCGGGAAGATCGTCGTGGGGTTTTGCCTCAAGGCGTCGTTGAAGAGTGTAGTGAAGTTGGTGCAAGTCAGGATCTGCCGGAAGATGGACAGCTCGGGGAAGGTGGCCAGGTAGGTTGCGATGCCGTCCTGGAACGTCGGCGGCGGCGGCGGCGGTGGCGGCGACGGCGGCGTTGGCGGCGTTGGTGGTGGTGGAGGCGGGGAGGGTAGAGCCAGGTCGGGCCACAGCACCGAGTCTAGCTGCTGCACCACACCCGCCAAGGCGCCGGCACCTCGAAGAACCTGGAGATCCCGGAGGATTCCAATCGTGGCGGTTTGGGGTGAGGCGCTGCCTGGGAATGTCTGGTTGAGCGTGATGCTGCTTCCCAGCACAAGGAAGGTGACGGCGTTGCTGCTCGTGCCGCTGCCGAAAATACCCACGTTGGTGGTCACGAAAGTGGAGTTAGTGATGTTGCTCGTGAAGAGGATGGTGTTGGGAACGAACATGTTCCTGACGATGGACAGACCGATACCCGAACTGATGACGGTGCTGATAGTCAGACCCCTGGCAGTCATTGCCGCGGTAAGGGCGGCATCAGTTGGCACGAAAAGGGTCCAGCCAGAGGTATCGAACTGCGCCACGGTGGGGTAGTAGTTGAAGGCAGTGAACAACTGGTGAGCAAGAGAGAAGCTGTTGTTGAGGAGGCCTGGGAGGCCGCCCGGAACAGGCGGCGGCGGGCTAGGTGCCGGCGGCGGGCGTGGCGGCGCCGGCGACGGCGGCGGCGGCGGTACATTGGGCGGCTGGTAGACGCGGTTCACAATCTGGACATAGCCACGCGGCTGTGCGGGGGAGCCGATCACGATGTCGCGGGGGACCCAGTAGACGAACGGGATGCGCACAGTGTTGTCGGTTGATATGGTGTCGAAAGCGGAGGCGCCACCGTAGCTCAGATAGTACACATTGAAGTTGCAGTTCGGGTAGGTGTCGTCCGAGGTCTCGTACTTAGGGCATTGGGAGCAGTAGCCCAGAGTCTCAAGGGGGACGTTTGCCACGCCGTTGATTGTGACGCTGTCGCTGCAAGTTCCCGAAAACCTGCGCAAGCGGATAAACAGGCACGGGGGAGGTTTGGGTCAGACAAGGTGGAGAAGGGAGGTCTAGGATGGGAAAAATATTGAGGCGTCAGGTAAAATGAATATGTGCCTGAGGTCGTACGTAGGGTCGTGTGCGTGTGTGGGGGTGGGGATTGGTGTGCGGGGTGGGTAGTGGGAGAGAAGGAGCATGCGACGAAAAGACTGCGGATACTGACTGTCCGATAGCGCCCTGAGAGTACGCTTGGGGGGGGGGTTGGGTTGACGGCCGTTCGCACAGCGATGCAGCTGCCAGCGGATCAGCTCAAGAGGCCTTCTCAAACCCTTATGGACCGCTATTGCCTAGGTCCATTGGGACCGCGGCAACATTTCATCAATCATGACACACACGACGGTGTTTAAGGTAACCACGCCTGCAAATCCCACCCTCCCTTGCTGAACACCCGTTGCTGGCCACCACCATGCAGTGAGGCTGTGCAACTACCTTCACATTGCATCTACCCCCCACTTTCTGCCTCCCCCTTCGCACACACACGTTTCTCCACACCCACACCCACACACATATGACGGTATGTATGTATGTCACCAACTGCCGCCAGGAGGATCCACACCACAGATTCGCACCACAGGCGACGAACTACTCACGCGATGCGCTTGACGTATGCGGCGACGTCCTCGCCCCAGCCCAAGGCAGTCTCCAAGGGGAGCTCCGTGTTGGCGTCCTGCAGCTTGAATACCGTGTTCTGACCGGCGTTGAAGCTGCGGGTCGCGTTGGCTGGGTTCACGCAAGAGCTCAAGATGCTGTTTCGGAGCATCTGCGTGAGGTAAGGGGTGATGCCGCTCTCCAGAGAAACAGTCCAAATCGTGCGGTCGTAGAAGTCCGCGGCGTTGAACACGTTGTCAACCTGAGCCAGCATGCGGCGGTCGGTGATAACGCCGTGGGCCACCACGCCCGGGGCAATGTTGAACTTCACCGTCTTGCTGTCTTCTTCGACAGACGAGAGCCGGCGGCGGCCGGTGGTCGAGGCAGGGAACGGGGGAAGAGGGGGTGGGCTTGGGGGGGGTGGGCTAGGGGGAGATGGGCTGGGCGGGGACGGGCTAGCCACAACGTTGACTAGCAGGTTATTGTCGTTCACGCTGAACCGGTACCACGCGGCATTGCTGGGGAAGAAGCAGGTTGTGCCGTTGAGGGCATCAATCAGGGGCGACAAGTTCAGGAGGCTGATGAGCTGACGGGTGATGGAAAGCTGGTCGACGCCGTTGATGGCGGCGGTAATGGAGGTGTAGGCGGGCGGCGGCGGGCTGGGCGACGGCGGCGGTGGGCTGGGCGGCGGCGGCGGCGGCGGTGCAAATGGGCCGCCGACAATGAAGTCGCTGATTATCTGGATGACGGACTGGGCCACGATGTTGTCGCGATTGCGTGCTGAAGGCGTGTCGGGGAGCAGGGTGCGGACTGGACCGCCAACCAGCGAAACCGAATACCTACGGAGTGGAAGTTTTGACGGAGGGTCCATTGGTGATGAAGGATAAACCTTGGACTAGGTCATGGTCATGGTCATGGGGAATAAGCATCAAGCTCAAGCACAGGTTGACCAGCAACGCAAACACCAAAACCAGTGACTGTGACTGCAGCAGCGTTAATAGTTCTATAGTAGTAGTAGTAGTAGCAGCAGCAGCAGCAGCAGTGGCAGCCAGCCAAGGGGACGCCCCAATAGAACAGCGGGGTACGACGTCATTGCGAGGAACACAGCAACCCCTTCAGGCACAGGAGCGAAACACCTAGATAGTGCCGAAGGGCCCGGGAAGGCGCGTATCCCGCACGTGCGCCGCGAGTTGCAGCCCCCACCCAGGAACGAGCCCCAAGCCAGGTAGGTCAGAGCTATCACACAGGCGCACCGTGGCCCTCAAAGCCCCTTACACCGGCAGCAATGACCCTTTTTTTCGTCCATCGGCCACCATCCCCCAAACCACCCGAATCCCCGCTCCAACCAGCCAACAAGGCTGCTCCACATTCTAACACCTACCATCCAGCCATACAGCCCATGTCACTACTACCACTTACGTGGGGGCGCTCACGGCTGTGGACAGGGAGACAAAGCTCTGCACAGTGGTGTACACGGCGTTGGTCCAGTTGGTGGTCAGGACGCGTGGGCTTATGCAGTGCCGCAGAAGCAAGTCGCGCACGAGGGCGCTGTACTCCGTGACGAGGGCGCTGGTGCAGTAGGCGGAGGAGGACATGTTGGCACGGCAGGCGGCGACGAACACGGTCTGATCCTTCACCCTGACATTAGTCATCGTGCTCGTCCAGAAAACAGGAGCGTCCCAGGTGGCGGCCTGTTCGGGAATAGCGTTCGGGTGGGCGGGAAGAGGCGGGTTCGCAAGGGCGGCGGGAGTGGCGGGTAGTGTTGATGTAGGGATACGGAATCAGACGGATCTAACAAACAGTTCGGGGAAGCCAGTGGGACGCAAGAGCACCCGGGATTTACTAGTAGTGTTGGAGACCTAGCCATGAGGAGGCAGAGCCGGCTTTGGCCGCACGGTTTTCCTGTTCACGTGCGGAGGGTAATGGAAGGCCTGTCGGTCCAGGATCGCTAGGAGAAATAAAACCTCCCTCTTAAAGCTGTCGCTTAGTGGCTGGGGACTGGGATGGCAGAGCCGAGGGAAACGTCCTTGCATCTCCGTGTACATACACGTCATTCACATAAGTGGAGACCACTTTGTTCTAGCGACGATGCTTAGACAATCTATGCGTCAGTCTAAAACGTCCTGTCAAGGTAAAAAACATCCGCGAATGGCAATACTACTAGCTGTGGAGTCGTGGCGCGTGACGTGACGTGGGGCGTGTGCAATGTCGTGGGGAGTTAGTTTCTGTGTAGTGCCAAAGACGTGTGTACGAATATGTACGTATGTACGGATATATATTCGTGCATGAATATGTATGTATCCGTACATGTATGTGCGGACGGCGACAAGGGTGCAGGGATTCAGGATTTGACAGCGCACAGAGACAGGGGATGAGAGCCATAGTCAAAGTCATGTAAGATTTTGACCAAATTTCCAAGATTTCCCTCCATAGCCAATATTGAGTTCTCTGACAGATGGTGCCTGCCACAGGGTGACGCCTCGCGTCTCAACGGCTCGCGAAGAGGTGAGACATGCTCGTGTCGTGCAGCGGTGTGTGCGGTGCAACTAGAGTACTGTAGTATTGCGACGACCGAATGAGCGGCAGCCGCTGCACGTCACCAGGGCCGTGCTGTTGTGACTCACAGAACACAATACAACAGGCGACATGGGAACACGAAGGACGGTGGGCTCAGCAAGCAGAAGGGATACATTTTCGTACGCTGACGCCAGCTACGGCTTTAAAGGCAATAGTTCTTTCATAAGGCGCGTCGTACGGGGAGTACGGGGAGTACGGGGAGTATGGGGAGTATGGGGAGTATGGGGAGTATGGGGAGTATGGGGAGTATGGGGAGTACGGGGAGTATGGGGAGTACGGGGAGTATGGGGAGTACGGGGAGTATGGGGAGTACGGGGAGTATGGGGAGTATGGGGAGTATGGGGAGTACGGGGAGTACGGGGAGTACGGGGAGTATGGGGAGTACGGGGAGTATGGGGAGTACGGGGAGTATGGGACTATGGGGCTCTAATAAATTAAAACTCACAGTATCGTTGGGCAAGAAGCAAGTCAGCTGGAGGCTGGGGTCATCAAAGTACGAAGCCAGGCCGGCGGCATCGACCGCCGTCTTCAGGCGGGTCATGTCAACCACGCGCTGCGACAGAAAGGAGTAGATCGAGTAGAAGCCAATGTACGGGGAAGGCGGCGGCGCGGGGCTAGGTGGCCGGGGGCTAGGAGCGGGGGAAGGCGGCGGAGAGGCACCCGGGGGCGGTGGAGGCGATGGCGGCGGGGGAGCAGGCGGCGGCGGAGAGGGCGGGGGAGGAGCTGGAGGTGGCGGGGACGGTGGAGGAGGGCTTGGTGGTGGGGGACCTGGAGGCGGCGGAGAGGGTGGGGGAGGAGCTGGAGGCGGCGGGGAGTTGGACACTGGCGGTGGCGACAGCACCGGTGGCGGCGGGGACTGCCTGGGCGGTGGCGGCGGCGGGGGCTGGGTGGTTGGTGGCGGCGGGCGAGGCGGAGGGGATTGCTTGGGCGGTGGTGGAGACGGCGACGGAGCTGGGATGAAGCGCGCCTGAATCATGACGGCGTCCAGGACGTGAAGAATCTGGCCCGGGGAACAGATGGCAGCGGAACGGAACGGAACGGCTTGAACATGATGGCAGGGTGAAAGGGGTTGAAGCTGGCGATGCAATGAAATCGGAAGATGGGTTAGGATGCCACAAGACAGCGAATGCCGGCCAGGCATAACCGACAAAGAGCGCCATCGCGCACATCTGGCCCCAACAACCGTCTGCCGCAACGTGGAAAAGTCTGACCAATCAACTATACACCTAGTGCAAGTTCGTCGTACCGAGAACAATGGATTTACCATTATTTTCCTTACTGTCACGAAATTTTTAATAGTTTCTATCCTTTCAATAGTCCACAGATACTAGTTGAACACCGCATAGCATAGCTGTCAGCTTACCCGGCCGTTGATGCGGATGTTAAACCGAGGTACACGAGTGCCGTTAGCTAGTGTGGTATACTGGTAGTCACCGTAGTCATCAGGGTTGGCACCAAAGACGTATGTGCCAACACTGGCGTCGATGACGATCGTGAGCTCGTCGACCAGGTTGTTGCCACCACCCAGAGTTGCGTACTTGCAACCCTGGCCGCCTTGGCAGTTACCCGGAAGCTGTTCGCGGGTGCGAGCCCCAGGAAGTAGGTGGAACCTCATCACAGAGTTACGAGTCTGGTTCAGCTTGACTTTCCGTGTTTCCTTGCAAAACCGCTCTGGGTCGCCGAGTCCGAAGGAGTCGAAGATGACCCTCCAACCCTGAAATTGCAAGAAGCAAAACCTTTAGAAATTAAAGCCGAGAACAAGGGTGTTTGAAGCATAAGTTAGCGCAGCAGTCACAAACGATCCCCGCCCACACCCATGCGCCTTACATCGTCGGTGGGCACATAAATGGTGAAGTCCTGGTCCTTTTGGGATGTCCACGGAGCCTGGTTCCTCAAAATGATGTTTTCAATGCAGGCCTTGGTAATTGACAAATCTGGCTGCGAAGAGATGTACTCGAAAGGTGTCGCAAACTGAGAACGGCCTGCACCGCGCAGAGTGATTTGTCAAAGCCACGTGACCCATAGGTATGATGACCAGTTTAACCCTTGCTAGCATGCTGTCCCGCTGTGGGTGCGCTTAAAAGTGCCAAAGGGGATCGGGATGCCGATCAGTGCCAGCCCCTCGTGCACCAGTGGGTGCATACAACGATACATGGGTCGTGCTATTTGAGTGATAATTGATAGCTGCTTTTAAATGTCTGAGCGCGCGCCGCGAAGCCCCACGTACCGCCCGGCACTAGCGTTAAGAGCGCCACCGCCACGGCCAGGGCTGCTGAAAGGCGCCCCATCGTGGCTATGTGCCGCCACGCGCTGACGGCTGGCTTGTTTTCGGATGAAAATGCAATCAATGACTACTAAAGGCTGCTGGGATTATGCCGGCACCCAGAACAAAGGACAAGTAACACTTAAGGATGGCGATGGACTACTACTTATGCCGACAGCCAATATCTAAAGGCCGTGTTATCCGCACAACTGCGAGAAATGGGTTTTAGGACACACTATGCTTTCTGTCCTATGAAGACTTGGGGTCCCACAGCCCGCCAGGGTTGGTTCATGACCATCATGAGGAGGGCTGCTATTATTGACCAGGGGGAATGACTTGGGGCTTATGTCACACATCTCACTCATTCACAGAAATTTGGTCAACATTGGGTCACAGCGTTGACCTTGGTCAACGCAATCGGGACCTGCCAAGAAATTGTTGACCGCCCACCATGAAGGTCAACATGTATTTCCATAACGTGTATATACACAGTGATGTGTGATGTACCCGTAGAGATTTATCCGGAGACTTATTGTAAGAAAATTTCTGTCTGCGTTTCACAATGAGCCTAATGATACTTGATACCATCGGTAGCTTGCTACAGGGCCTGCTTTTTGCACAGGATTATGTTCAAAGAAAGAATTTCTCAGATTATAATTAAGAAACTTTTTTAGCAATTATACCTGGTTACACTCGTGCAAATCATATGATGCAGGAACATAGTCACTAGCCGTCATCTTGTGACCAGGAAATTCCAATAACTTTCGGTAGTGAAAAATCTCGTTTGTGGAAAGGATTATTGCCAACCTACGCTGAGGCACTGATAGACATCACTTTCCGAATCGTTGTGAGCAGCCACCACGGACGCCTCACAGCTTACATGTTCAACACAATATATAAATGATTGCCCAATAGCACCAAGCTCGTGCAATTGCACGTGGTTGGAGTGCGTTGGGAAATGGTGGGCGAAATGGTGGAGCAGTTAGGCCCATGTTGAATCATCATTTTGCAGCTGTTCATTATCACAGCCCAGAGTACTATTGAATCTCCAAGCCAGGGCCCTCGACGCCAAAACACAATACTTACGTACCCGGCCATGCGTCGTCCGCCGGAACCCAGCTGCCTTTCCACTTACTTCTTGATATATATATTACGTACTTAATTTTTGAAGATTTACTCTTTGAGGCTAAAAAACGAACGCGCTGGCCGCCGCAGTGCACCTGCACATTTCCCGAAGATGCTATGTACCTGTACTTGCCATGCCAAGCGTTGGTGCGAATCTTATGAACAGAACCAAGCCTCATAGGTCGCAATGCAGCCTTCGCCTGAAGCAGCTGAAGTTACAGAGAACCCTTCTCCGGCATCAGTACGATGCAGCGACCCCACAAGAGGACCTTGCCAGTACATGTACGGCAGCTACACAAAGCTGCGTCGAGCTTGTTAAGAGACAAATTACTGCAAGCCGCACGGCTGCAGCAGCGTGGTTAAAATTCCAATATACCCCCCATCGACTGTGGTTTCTTATGGATCTCTGTATTTACCCAAATGTATTTACTCAAATGCAGTTTTTCACCTTAGTGCTGTGACATGACATGCTGTGGCCCTTCAATGCCTTCGCCGGGCTCGGAACCCGGTTCCCGCACATCCACCACCCCCTGGCTGCACATCCAGCACCACACGATTCGCCTGGCACAGAAATGAGCCCCTGGGAGACCCTCAGCCGGCCGATACAGCCGAACTCATTGTGTGATCGCCAACCCTGAGTTGACATGGCGTGCGGCGCCTGCAAATTGTGCCACTAAAAGTGCGCATGCCGGGCGGTGAACCAGATGACAGAGGGAAGATGTGCAGGAACAGCCGTGCATGGAGCTATTTCCCATAACAGCCTTCTGCAGGTGCCCTGTCTGGTTGCAGAGCAGTGTGCTTACGGCTTGTGTCGCATGCTGGCGAGGGACAAAGCACGGTCGCGCAATGCATGTAGGTGTCGAACTGACATAGCCACGTCTCAGCAGTGCAGGTATGAAGCGGCCAAACACCGTGAAACTAGACATTCGGCTGCTTAGCGGCTGCGCTGCGAGAGAGGGGCGCGGATAATTAGTGGACTGGCGGCTCCGGAGCTCCGGAAGTTCGTTATGGTTAGGAAATTCGGCACGGGCACCAGCCGCCCGGAGCATTCTACAGCACTTGGTCTTCGATATTCTATATACTCAAAATGCTGGTGCTTTTATTCGATCTGGTAACGGGTGCGCTACTTGAGCCCGTCACGCATCTGTCTTATAGCACTCTTTATGCTCTGAGGTTGCACACCACCGCGCGACCATGTGGAAGCTGTGATATGCTTTTCCTCGATTACTGATAACATTTTTAAAGCCTATCTTTGACCCTGTTGGTTATGATATGAAGTGGTGGTGGACAGCTGCGCAAGGCAGCTCGCCATTCCCGAAAGAGTTTGCGTTGAAGGCAGCTGATGCGGATTCCATACCAAATGCATATGATTTGACAATTGTGGAGCGGAAAGGCCAGGCGTTCTGCTGGGGCACAGCACAGTACTCATCGTTGTCAGAGCTCAAGAAGAAACTCCTGGACCCGTGGCATGAGGTTATATATCCTATCCTCGATGATGAAGGTAAATATGTCTTTATGAGTGCCAGAAACGCTTCATAACCTTGTCCATTACATCGCATAAGCACCTGGAATGAACGACAATACGCGGAACGTAGGAATTAGGGTGCGTAGAAATCACCATATGGAATCAACGGAATAGCTGACCGTGGTTAACATTATTTCCTATGCCCGATGCTTCGCCGTGCAACGCTCCTTAACCGAATACCATCAAAGCTCTGGCAGCTCGTCACGCAGCCGCTGTCCCAGCTGCCGCAGCCACAGCTCCATCCCCTACCTCGTCCGAGCACGCCGGCGGGACCGTGACAGGGCCTGCGGCAGCGCCTTCACCGCGACTATCGTACTCAACGGACGAAGCCGCACTCCGCAATGCAGTATGGCAACGAGCAGCTGCCGGTCGCGCCACCGCCAGCGGCGCCGAAACCACCAGCGATCCATTACCGCCGCCGCTGCAGCGGCGCGCCAACCTGCTTGTGGACATGTTCGGTGGCGTCATTGCCCACAGCGCGGCCCCCGAATCGCTATGTTGGTGGGAGCCCTCTCCCTTCTTCCCGCTGTCACGCGGCGGCTTGCGCCAGCTGCCCAACCTACTGCCGCTGCATGCGGCGGCGCATCGCGACCGGCAGGACCTGCTGCTGGCCGCCGTCGTAAGAGACGTGACGGAGGCGAACGGAATGGTAGCCGCGGCAGCGGCGGCGGGAGAGGTGGCGCACACGGTCGACATAGCCTTGGCCGCGGGTCAGCTTCAGAACCAACCACGTTTCTTCCTCGTCGTGGCCGGCGAAGCCACCGCCACCGCCGCCGCCAGCTCCCACATCGCGGGCATCGCGGACAAGGCGGGGCGTCTTTTGAGCGGCAGTGGGATCAGTGCAGCGGCAATGGATGAGAGCACGACGGCGGCAGCGACGGAGGAGGTTGTGCAGCTGCGCCCGCTCAGGACGGGCACCTCGCCAGCCGCCGTAGCGGCGCTGTGGGAGTTCGTACTCATCGCTGTGGTCGCCGCCGGCGCCGGCGACGCTGATGACGACATGGGATTCGGAATGCCGCCGGCGGCGACGGCGACGGCAGTAGAGGCGGCAACGCCAGGAGCAGCGAACGGAGGGGAGGAGCATGAGCCCACGGCGGGCGCAGCGGCGGCGGCGGCGGCGGAACTCTTGCTTGATCTCCTGTGCACCAACTGGGCTGGTTTGCAGGAGGGCACGTTGGTCTGTAGCCTGCCATTCCGGCAGCTGCAACTCTGCAGTACGGCCGACAGGCGCTCCGAGCATCCACCACCGCCGCCGTCATCATCGCAGCACAGTCGTACTGCAGCGGGAAAGGCTGTAGTCCCTCCGGGCGGGTATCCCGCAGCTACAGCCACAGCCACGGGCGCTGTTACTGACCTCCTGAGATTGTATTTGGACTGTACGGCAGACGCTATGGCTTATGGAGTTGACAGTGCGCCCGTCAGCGGCGACGGCGACGACGGCAAGGATACAGCGTTTGGGCATACCGTCGAGGAAAAGGGTGGTGCTGTGGCTGCCATCCCCGTCGGCAGTAGCGCCGCCGCCGCCGCCGCCGCCGCCAAGGTCGGGACACGTGAGAGCAACAGCCTCCTTAGCAGGGCGCGAGCGGCGGTGGCGGCGGCGTTAAGCTGGCTGCCACCCAGGCGGCGCCCGGGCCTTGCGGAATTGCTGCTGCCGCCGCTGCCGCTTACTACGGCGACGGCGGCAGCAGATAACTGCAATCGCTTACGGCCCTGTAATGATGCGGCAAACAACGGATCAAATGAAAAACTGCCCGGAGCCGGTTCGGTGCGGAGAGGAGATCGGCAGCAGAGACCCTCGGGTCTGTGGATTCCGGCTGTGCGCCAACCGGCGCCGCTGACGTCGCGCCGTTCCCAGCAGCAGCAACTGCGGCGTCCGGATGACTATCTCTTGTGGCCGCCGCAGCGGCATCCTCCCGCGGCCCGATGGGGACTGCTGGACGCCAGGGCGGCGGCAGCGACGGCGACGGTGGCGGTGGCGGAGGTGGAGTCGGATGCAAGGTCGTTGGCGGCGGTACCGGAGATGCAGAGCCCATACGCCAGGGCGGCGGAGCAAGCAGCACGAAGCTTGGGCGGCGCAGCCGCTGGGTCCAGGGCGGCGGCGGTAACCACATCGGAGGTTGTAGCGCCGACGACGAGTGCTGTAGCCGGGGGGGAAGCTTGTCCATCGATTACTCTTGCGTGCGGTGGTGGAGACAGCGGCGGAGACAGTGGCGGTGGCGGCACCGGCGGAAACAGCGGCGGAGACAGTGGCGGTGGCGGCAGCAGGTCATTTTCAGCTGTAGCGCGGCGAGATGAGGGAGGTGATAGCGGCGGCGACGTTGGTGGCCTCCTGAGTGAAGGCGCGAGTATTGAAGATCCGCGGAATCCAAATTTATACCCGGGTTTGGATTCCGTGTTGCCGCTGCTGGAATCACGTCCACTGCGCCCGTCGAGTGGCGATGTCGTTGACGGCGGCGCCGTCGCCGCGCCGCGTTTTGCCCAAGCCGGCCTGCCGGCGAACCAACCTAAGACTTCCCTCGAGTTTATGGAGGGCACCGGCGTGTTGGCTGCAGCTGCTGCCGCAACTGCCACAGCTACAGCCGCAGCTACTGCTATTGTTACAGCTAAACCCGGTACCCTTACCGACGCAATAGTGGCAGTAGCACCAGCAGTAGCACCAGCAGTAGGGCGGCTCGGAGTGGAAGAAGGAGATGTGGCGGCGGCAAGCAAGGTGCTGTCGCCGCAACAGGCCGACAGGGCTCGGAGGGCGGCGCGGCGGCGGGCTGTAGCGCTGCAAGCGGCTGCAGTGGCGGCCGGCAGGCAAGATTTCTTAGCCCCCACCTCCTCCGCCACCGGCGCCGCCGTCGCCACCGCCGCCGCCGCCGGCGCAATGGCAGCGGTCCGTGTCGCCTCAGCCTTTCCCCCCTCCTCCTCCTGGACACGTGACACAACATCGCCGCCAACGAACTGCCAAGTCCTCACGACGACGACGACGACGATGACGCCCAGTGCCGTACCGTTCGCTGCCGCCCAGGCTGATGACGCCCCGGCAGTAGCAGCGCCAGCAGCAGCTCCAACAGCAGTAGTACCGCTGTCGCTGCCGGGGCTGCAGCACCTGCCGGCCGAGGCAGCGGCCGCTCTGGAGCGCGCCTTCATGGACGCAGCGGCGGCAGCTGCTGCTGATACGGCCCGCTGGAAATCTCACCTGGGAAGCCGGCCGGTGCCCGCGGGCACAACGACGGCGGCGGCGCCAGGAGTATACCTGAGCCGCGGCGCCGCCGCCGCCGCCGCCGCCGCCGCGCCTGCTGTTACAGGGGTAGCGATGGCCAGGCCTCAGGATGCGCCTTCCGCTAGGTCAACGGCGGCAGGGGCAGTAGCAATCACGGCGACGTCTGGCTCTCAGGAAGGTTCAGCAGCGCTTGCCAGCAGCCCGCCGCCGCCGCCGCCGCCACTGGCGCGCCCTGGCGGCACCCGCCTGGGGCAGCTGTCTCCGGAGACCGCAGGGCCCGTGCTGGCTACCTTTCGCCAAGCAGCTTCTTCGGGCTACCGTACTTATCACCTTGGCAGCGCGCCAGCGCCGGTGCTGCGGCCGACGGCGGTGACACCGCCGCCACCGCCGCCGCTACAACCAGCTCCCGCGGGGAGGGGATCCTTCTTCGGTGGTTGCTGTGATGGGGTCGGCGGCGGCAGCAGCTGTCGGGGTGCTGCTGCTGCTGCTGCTGTTGCATTTCCTAGCGGTGATGGTGGTGGTAGCGGTGATACTGCCTGTCTCAACAACAGCAACAACCTGACACGCCCACCAGTGCGCTCATCGCCGTTACACCGACACAGCGGCTACCCGTTCAGCGACGAGGAGCACCGAGCTCATGCGCTAGCGCCGCCGCCGCCGCCGCCGGTGCCGTCACCCTGGTTCGGCGCCTCGAGTCACGCGGCGAACCGGCTCGAGGGGAAGGGGGACGTACGAATGGAGCAGTACCAGGACTTCGTACGGCACTCTCAGCGGTGCAGCTGGCCCGTTGGGTGGACAGGCGTCAGCGGAGGGAATAAAAATGGTATCATTAATGGTGGCGGCGGCAGTGGCGGCAGCGGCAGCGGCGGAAGGGTGCTTGGCTGAAGGATGTTGGCGCGGTGAAGAGAGAGCGGTGTGGTCGGCGGGGCTGGTGGGATATATGCACATTTGTATCTGGGTAAAGCGGGTAACCCGCGAGCTGACGGCTGCGTCCGCATCATGGGGTCCGCATCATCAGGGCGTCGGTGCCACCACCCCCTCTGCCGCGTAACATCTCCCCCCCCCACACACACGCACACACACACGCACGCGGTAATGGGTGTTGTCCTGGGAGAGGAGGTAGCCATGGAGCCGTACGAACGAAGCGTCGAGCGCGCTGAAGGGCCTCCTCCCCAACCCTTCCGGGGCCCCTCCTCTTTCTAAAGTACAAGGGTAGATTGGTTATCATTGGCTATCAGAAATCTGAGAGCAGCACCTAATGCCTAGCAATATCTAGCAATGCCTAGCAATGAAAGCAAGGACCGCAGGATGAAACTCGGACGGAGGGGCAAAAGGACGGGGGGGCAGGAGTTAGGATGTGTGGTGTGTGTTGGTTTTGGGTTGGTGGGGGGCCCCCGCGGCCCAACCAGTGTGGGAACACACGGACGAGGTGGTGGGTAGTAGGTGGTGGGTGATGCGGCAGCTGGAAACGGCAAACAGCCCCTGCAACGCGTTCCGTGGGTGATGGGTGAGGGGGGGGGGAACACCTGCGCAAAGAACCTGGCATAGCAGATAGGTGCATACATACATACATCCACACATACCCCCGTTTATACATGCGAACAAAGGAATCCACCTGCTGTCCAGGCGGCTCCTGAGGACCGCGGATGCCGAGGGGAGCAGGGGCAGAGGCAAAAGGGCGCCGCATACTTTGAGGAGTATGGGCTGACAGAGCCTTCTGGGCCGGGTAGCAGCTGCCTGCCTGGCTGGCTAATCGGACCCGTGCGGCAGCAGCAGCCGCAGCCGCAGCAGCGATAGCAGCAGCCAGAAACATTAGAACTCGTGAACCGTCCACGGCAACGGCCTCTTTCGTCCCGCATTGGGCCCTCATAACTTCTGCCAAGCTACCGGCCACAAGCTACCCAGGTAGAGTAATGCCTCTCTGAAGTTGAACCTTGCAGGGAGTAGAGGACGATGAAGAAGATGATGTAGGATGTGATGCGCTACAAGGCGAGGTCAACGTCGCATCTCTTGTGATATCATTGTCTCGTAGAGGGGCGGCGATTCTGTAAGAGGTCGAAAGGTCCCCAGTGATTCAGAGCGCCTGAATCTCTTTCCCTCCGGCCCCCGGGCTTCCGCCACCAAGGCCATGCTGCTGGATGAGGACCCCTCTGGCGAGGTTCAGACAACATCGCGGCCCTACTTTATCCCCCATCCACCCAGCCCCTGATAGACTTGCATAAGGAGGAAGAGGAGGGGAACGCGACATGGCCACCCCCCTTCCTCCTCCTCCTCCAACCCTCCTCCTCCAACCCTCCTCCTCCTCCTGAGGCCGCATGACATTCCGGCGGTGACCACCCTCTCTTGCCACGTGTCGTCCAACGGTCGCCGCCGCAGTTTCGTCACTGCCGTACAACCAACCCTGCTACCAACTGTTAACGCCACACAACCCCAGAAAGCACCACCACCATAACCACCAACAGGTACAACAACAACAACGGAATCCGTTCTTACGACAGCTTCCCTCTACCCGTCCCCCTACCCCTCCCGGGAGGGGTGGGGCTCCCAAGAAGATCAAGAAACAGCCACCTGCTGATTCACATACCCACAGCACAGCACAGCGGCTCACGAACAAAGCCCCGCACGCAATCACAGCATACTGAGCAAGCCCCGACAGCAATCCCAAGGTAAGCAACAGAAACACACGCACACAAACACCTGACCCACCCGCAACACGCTCCTCCTCCTCCCCCCCCCCCCGCCATGACCCTGTTCGCGCTCCAGGCTAATCATGGCCAACATATCCTCAACGATCCATATCCTCAAACGTCCCTCGAAAATCCCTCAGAAAATCCCTCAGAAGCTTCTGGGCGGGAAGGTAGCCGAGTTGCCTTTCTCATGCACCCCATGCACCGCCCACCGTCCCAATCACCCCCCCCCCGACCTACGAGTCCCGCACCTCCTCGTCGTCCTCCGCATCCAGGGCCCCACATCCCCTCCAACATCCCCCCCACCACAACTCAACAGCTCACAACGCTTCACAGCCGGGGTTAGTCGGCCTCTTCACTTAACTACCCTTCCCCCGTCGGTGTGCGTGGGGGGGGGGCCGGAGACGGTGGGGAGATGGCCTCTCTGCGCCGTCGCCGTCACCTCTGGTGATGATGCTACTCTTCCCCCCGCCTAGCTGTGCCGCCGGCAACTGGCCCAGCCGCGGTAACTGGCTCCTCACGGCGGATCCGCTTCACACCTTGCAAGCCGGCAGCGCCGCCATCACCATCACCATCACCATCACCATCACTCCCACTGGAGCGCTTTCCCACCCCCCGTGTGACCGTACCGTCCTCCGGCGGCTCGGTGGCGGCGGCAACGGCAGCGGAGGGTGGCGCCGGCGATGCCGCTGCCGGCCCTACCGGTGGCTCAGCGCTGGCAGTCATGGTGGCTACGTTCGCGTCATTGGCAGCGGAAGTAGCTGCATCCCGGGGGCCATGGGTCGTGTGCGCGGCGGCATTTTTTTCTTTCCTGTCTTTCCTCTTCTTGTTCATCGAGGAGGTCGTCTTCGAGGGCCGTCCTTTGGTGGGCTTTGCAGCGGCTTCAGTCGTCGTGGCCGTGGTGGTTGCGGATGGTGGGGAAACTGATGATGGTCTCTCAGCCAAGTCGACCTCCTCCTCCTCTGTCGCCGCTGCTGCCGCTGTTGCAGATCGGAAGCACCGCTGCACAGCCTGGGCTTGGCATCGGGGGGAGAGGTCAGGAACGGGTTGGGTTGGGTTGGGTTGGTTCGGGGGCCGCTGACGTACCGGGGAACGGGGGAGGCGCCTCCCTGGACTCCGGGTAGCTGTCAGGTGTCAACATCAAGCGTCAAGGCGCACAAAACAACAACACGAGCAGCACGCCAACAGTGTGACATTGCAAACCCCCCCGACTGGATGCAGACAGACCGAGACCGAGCCTTGCTGAGGGACCTTTTTCCCTGTTGGTCGGACCATCTGACCATCTGACCATCTGGCCATCTGGCCACCCGAAGTGAGAGACGACACCTGCATCATGCACCTCCCATTTCTACCTTCGGTTTCCACCTGTTCGACACAGCTTGCCGTGCACGTATCTGTATCTATAAAACCCAAAGGTATTTTTGGCCCACACAGCGACTCAGCTACGCATAACGTTGCCTCATCCTGCAATCCTGGACTTAATAAACAATAATGGACACAAGGCATGGACATGGAAATGGGCATGTGGGGGCTGGAGCCCTGGACACATGGCGCACCTCACCTGGTACCACTGAGAGGGATCGTCTTCAATCTAGCTCCCGAGGTTACCAAACGACAGCGGCAGCCACAGCCGCAATCAGCAGCAACAGCAGTGGGGGGGGTGGGCATGAGGGGTAGTGAGGGAGAGAGAGAGGGGCGCGGCACACCGTGTAGGAGGAGAGCCCCGTGGGGGAAGGGGAGGGGGGAATGGATTCAGGAGGATGCCCACGCGGCCACGTCGATATGTGAAAGGCTTTTGGTTTCGGAGGTTCATATCCGCGGCCAGGTGGTGCGGGGCAGACACACACAGACACACACACACACACACACACACACCTTAACACACACCTTAACACACACAAATAGAGACTTATTGCGCAGACGGTCCACTCTGTTCGCGTCTGTTCACCCATCCTTTGGCGAATCCCATCGTGTTCGTCTGTCTGTCCGTCCGTCGAGATAACGTACCGATAAACGGATAGACGGACAAATGCGGGTTTCACACCAATCTTTCCACCATACCCCCCTACAGACCGCACGATCTCTCTCTCCCCCCCCCCTCCCCCCCTCCTCCCCACACACACAGACACAGACACATACACTCTGCCACCAAGTGCCGCCCCCACCCTTCCCAATCCAACCTGATCTCTGACCCAAGCCGACCCTGAAGCCGACCCAATCCAAAACCTTACCAGCAGCTTGCCCAGGATGAGTCGTATGTGTTTGCAGTCCCGGTGGCGGACCCGGTGGTCCATGCACTGGCAGCTGCGTTTGGCGTCACTCAGCCGCACCGTGTAGTGGCTGCCGGTGGAGCCGATCACCACGAACACAGCGGCCTCAGGGGAGAAGTCCACCAGCCCCTCCAGCTCCAGCTCACGAAGGCGGGAGGCCTCCCGCTGCCGCAGCTGCTCCGCCTGAGGGGATGAAGAGGTAGTGAGGGGTGGGCAGTGGGCAGTGCGCAGTGGGCAGCGAGGGAGGAGCTGCGTAAATGAAAAAAGGGGGAAAGGAAAAAGGAGGGGGGAAAAGGATAAAGGAGGAGGAGTGGGAGTGGGAGGCAAGGCAACGAGGAGAGATGGAGTGGAAAGAAGGGACTGAGGGCGAGAAGGTGGGGGAGACGACGTGGGCGCTTTCCGAGGAGAAGAAGACCCTCCACCACCATATCCAGAGCCCTCCCCCATCATACCCACCGCACCCCCGACACCACACCAACCCACCCACACCTACTCCCCAACTCACCTTGGCCGCAATCTCTTCCTCTGATAGTCCGGTTGTTGCTGCTGCTGCCTCTCCCTCCTCCTCCCCCTCCACCGCCGCCCCCTCCCTCCCCGCCCCCCCCCCAGGACCCCCTCGCGACCTGGCTGAGGTCCCCGCGTGGCCCCTCCCTTGCACCTCCGCCTCGCCATGCTCCCCGAGCTGTAGCAGAGGCTCATTCACAGTAGCCGCTTCTTGGCCACCGCTAGCACCTGCACCCGCACCCGCACCCGCAATGGTTCCAGTTGTAGCCAGGCGGGTGGACCTGTTTGGCGACGACCCGGGAAGGGGCAGTTGGGGAGGACAGAATTTGGGGGACTTGTGGAGCACCTTGGGTTCGTTGGCAGGCAGGGGCCGCTCTCCTCCCTTGAAGCAGTACAAAGAACCCTTCACCCCACCCCCTCCTCCAACCCCTCCACCATTACTGGCTGAACAGCGCCACCGGTAACACAGGGCGGATAATGGAAAGAAATAGACAAACAAAAATTCAAAAGTCGTTAATAATGGGCAAAAACATGACAGTGGCGCCGGCTGGGGTCCTTAAAACCCTGGGATCTGGCTTGCCGATTGGGAGTTATTACTTGCCATTCGGCACTTGCCATTCGGCACTTGCTATGCTCAACATCCTCTCTCTCTCTCTCTCTCTCTCTCTCTCTCTCTCTCTCTCACACACACACACACACACAGCTCAGCACAATCGCTAGCACTAGCACTGTGAGGGGAGGTAAGATTCACTAGGACTAGCTTCCCTCAAAAGAGTCTTAAGGACTGGGGGCTTCAAGGCCCCCACGGCCAACCCACCGCCGCGTCGGCTCGGTGGGCTGGTGACGGTCCGCCTTGGGCTTGCTGGGCCGCGGCCGTGCGTGAGCTGACCTGCGTGCCGTTTTGACGATATACATGGGTTGAATTGCCGGCATGGGTTAAAGGGGAAAAGGGAGGAGGACCAACATGCAAGCCGTGGGTGAGGAAAGGTGAGAGGGGAGGTGACAAGAGTGAAAGCTGTGGAGGTGAATCCTTGTCGCAGCTGCCAGAAAGCACGACATGAGTCAAAGGCTGTAGGGTCGATTGAAGGTCGTAGAATGACTTGAGGGGTTCAAGCGGGGCTAACCTCTGCTGCTACCCTGCTTACCCCAAGAGAACGCAACTCGGGACCACCGAGCTCTCCTCGCGTGGCTGATTGCGGGATATCAGCACAGATGTTGAAACGTTTCATGCCCAGGTATTCCTTTTCTGCACCCTCAATCTGCTCAAGCTTCAAGACCCCACTCACGCGCACTTCTTTGCCAGGTCCTGAAGCTCCATGACGCCCACGGAGATGCCCAACGCGATGAGCTTCGCGCGATTTCGGGCCATACTGCACGACGAAATTCATAGAGTGGAGGGAGAGATCGAATTGGGCACAGGCGAAACCTAAGTAACCGACGACTGAGATTGACGACATTTTTCGTGCTCACATTCTCCGACGCTCCATGTCAAGGTCGTCAACCTCGTGTGCATCATCCTCGTCCTTTTCACTGTCCATGCTTCCATTACTGTCACCGTCTGCCTTTGGCACCATGCTACGTTGCAACCTTAGCACAACTAGAAAAGCTTTGAGCAACCCTACGTCCAAGCGAGGAATATTTATAAATAAAAGCGTTTAAAAATTACATTGTATAAGATGAGTGTATGCATCACAGAGTCCAGCTTGCCGTGCCCGTGCCATGCCTGTGGCTTGCATGAGACGCATGCTGTGCGTTCCATGGGATGTTCATAATGCCCAGCAATCACACAGTGACGATGGGAAAACAGCTCCAATACGGACCGAGGCAGGATTGAACCATAACTCGATACCATATGAAAGGAACTGGCTCCAGTTGGCGACTGGAGGAAGCATTAGTACCTAACTTGCCCGATCTGCAGAGCCCGACATCAAACGCTGACTGAGAGACAAGGAAGAGAAGAATACTAAGCTTACAAATAATGGTGTAGGAATGCCTTAAATAGTCTGGCAAAGCCTTGCACGACACAGAGTCGTACCGATCAAAGCCAAACCATACGTACTCGGTAACGAACACAAATCCCTTACAGTAGGCGCAAGATTAAAATTATCCCTACTATCGTTTAAAATGTTTAAATTTAGGTTGAGTCTGCCAAGCTGTATACAGTTGACAGGCCGTGCAGGAGAAGTCATAACTTGAGGCATGAGGACTCAACCAGGTAATGGAAAAGTAATTCATGTATTAAACATAGTAGCTTTATAGCAAGAATCAAGGTTGGACGAGCTGCACACACCCCGCAGGCAGGGGCTCGCCTAAAGCTCGCCAAGTAAGCCTGTTCTGGCGAAGATTGCCCGAAAACGGTTCTCGGGGACCTTATCCGTTTTTACGGGTGGAGGTTCTGGGCTACAAGGGATGAAAAATTTGGTAACCGAAATGTTTCACAAGCAGGGTAGTTAAACTTAGGGCTCGCTCCAAGAATTTTTATTGCATCCCGCATCGAAGCAAGATCTACTATAGCTGGAACTCCAGTAAAGTCCTGCACGGCGTGCTTTAGGCGATGCCCGCAGTAATGGAGAAGAGGTGAACAGGCGTAAAACGGCTAAGAGAAAAAGTCTTCATCAGGTTAACATTTCTTTGAGGAGCCACAGCTTATCGCCTGGTCCGTCAAGTCGCCTCAGGCCGACCCAGCTCCGCCTAGTCGTCTTAGATACCGCACCGTAGTGACCCCAGTCGCCCTCAGCTCAACCCCAGTCGCCCTATAGCTCGGGTACACGTCTCCGCGTATCCTTCCTTGCTCTGTACATATGTGGGATATTTGGCCCCAATATGGAAAATAGGAACTACGTGCATCATTCCGCGCGACCCGGCACAGTTTCAAACGTCCAACACGCAGCTATGACATCTAGACAAGCCGGTAGCTCACTACCGCCCATAACTCAGATCACACTGCACGACTGCCACGTCGAGCCATCAGCAGGCCCACATCACATCCTGAGTCGCACCCGCACGACTGCTGCGGGGCCGCTCCGTTGCCGCTCCGTTTGCTGATGCAGCTGCGGCGCAAGCTCTCCTGGTGTCAAGATGTCCCGCGCAGCAGCAGAGCCTCACCCTCCTTCCGATGCCGCTTTCGAGTCAGTTGGGTTTCCTGGGCCGCGATGCTGAAACAAAAGGCACTGAGGCCACAGGGGCTGGTGAACTGCTGCTTCCAGGATCAAGGAAGCGGTCCGTTAAGACACAGGGCGAATTTTTCTCTTTTGATGCAGAGTACGCGGTGGCCCTTCGACGCGTGTCCTGAGCCAGGAGGGAGAATGTGTGTGGGAAATGAAGGGTGCAAGAGCATCATCCGGTAAGACCCCCCATGGCCTATGCGTGTGTTCTGCCAAGCGGCACGACCCCCTCTCCCCCTTCTGCAATAACCCTTATGGGGCTTCTCATGACCGCAATGATGATGATGATGATGGTGATGATGGCCTCTGCAGTTACAGAAGCCATCAACTCCATGCTTCTTCGTTGTCACGGTGCGGGAGCAGCCTCTGCCCAAGACACGCTACGGACATACAAACGGACACGCAACTTCCGTTTTTTCATCGCTGGAGGCCAAAGCTTTCAAAGAGGCACGTGCACAATGGAAGAACAGGCAACCAATAAGTCCAGCTCAGGAAGACCCTTAGGTGCTCCAGGAACATCGCCATCACCTCAACTACAAAGCAAAAATGGCTATTGTCGCAATACCTCCGAGAAATGGCCCGAAACACCCCTCACACCCCCAACCCACCTCCGTCCCCCGCACCACGGGGGTTAGCTGCCACCCAGGTACAAACTCCACTCGCACCGGGTGGTGGTTCGCTAGTCCTAAACATCCGTGTCACACATGTACAGGTAGGCTAAAGAGAGGCTTGCAGGATCTGGCTTCCCGCGATACCCCCCCTTCTCCCCCCCGCCCCTCATCATTTCCCCCCTCGTTCAAATCCCTCCAGACATGACGTGTTCCGTACACCACCAAGGTACCCGTGAAGTACTCGCACTGTTTTGAGATCCTCCTCCCTCCCCCCCACCGGCAGGAGGGGTCCTGGATAGAGCCCAGTGATAGAGCCCGGAGGAAGGGAAGGGGGAAAGACGAACCCCGAACGAGTGAAGCTGCTGCCAGGGCAAGAGTGAACCAGAAGTAGAACTGACCAGTAGGAAAGGGGGGAAGGGGGAAGGGGGAGGTAGGGATCTCGTTCCCCTGGGAGGTGTCAAGGAATGGAAACCGCCCCATTACCCCAACCCCAACCCACCTCAACCCCATGGCCCGCACCCCTATCTAGCCGCACCGAAGGGGGCTGCATGCTGCTGCACACCGCCGTACCGCCTTCCCACTTCACTTGGCTTCACTTCAATTCATACCTCTCTCCCTCCCCCCCCCACACACACAGCAACCCGATGTTGCAACACCCACTCAATCAAGCCCACTATCAAGCGCCCGGTCATCATCACCACCAAAAGCACCATTCAAGCAGGAAGAACGAAACCGGCAACCACCTCTATCCGTACAGCTTCACGCCCATTGTCGGTCCGCCGGTCTGTCTGTCTGTCTCTCTGTCAGCGAGGAAGCAATGGTGATTGTGTACTCATCTAACCATCGACTCCAGTCCGAGATACCTGTACGACAATATACAAAGATAAAGAAATGTCGTATAGTGCCGTAAACGTGCTCGTGGATTACAAATAAAAAGAACCCACGCATTCCGTCGTCCCACCCATTTAGTGGTGCGGAGTGCCGTACGCTCGGTCACCGGCATCCCCCAAACCCGGCACTATGTAGCCCCGCTCGTCCACTTGCTCGTCAATCATTGCCGTGTAGACCTGCAGTAGTTAGGATGTCGTGGCGGTTGGAGGTCGTTACATGACGGTTACCGGTCATAGTGGTTGTCGGTGCTGAGTGGCGGTTTCTAAATGGCAGTTGTGGGTGATGTCGTGCTTCTCAGCAATTCACTCTTCACCCCCAAGATCCATTTTGAACCCCCTCTTTCTCCCCCCCACAACAAAACACATTTCCCCTCCATGCACACACAACAAACTTCCAAAAATAGATAACAGAACTAATCCCCCCTCTTGACACTGCTGCTGCATCGTTATGTGTGTGGGTGCTGCATCGTTATGTGTGTGGGTGCACATGCGGCTCCCCGGGGTAAAAGAAACCGCTCTCCCTTCCGGCCCCCCGTATCACACAGGACACAGCAACCCGCTACGGCCCTTCATAGTTCAGATATACGAAGCAACCCCCCTCCTCCCCTCCCCACCCCCGCTCCTTCCCTCCCCACACTCACCTTCAGTCCCGGGTACCTGTCCGCCAGCTTCTTGAGGGCGGGCGGCGCCACCACCACCGCCACCACGCGGACGTTCTCGGGCCGACCCCCCCGGGACACGATGTCGTCAACGACCTGAGGTGGTTGGGGGCGAGGTGGTTGGGGGTTGGGGAAGAGGTGGGGTTGGGGAAGAGGTGGTTGGGGGGGTTCAAATTTCGAAACTGTAAGCGATGACGTCACTGACCCATGGTTCCGAAAGTAAAGCCCCATTACGTGGGGGTGGGGAAGGGAAGGGGACGCAGGGGGTGAGGGTTTTTAAAACCCCCAACGGATTAAACCCCGCCTTCAACACACCACAGTCCCCCTCCCGCCCTTACATGCACATACAAACATACATACATATGCACATACACGCACACCTTGACGATCGTTCCCCCCGTGGCCAGCATGGGGTCGGTGATGAGGAAGAGGTCATCCGGGGAGAGCTGGGGGGGCAGTTTGTTGAGGTAGGAGGTAGCCTGGGGGGGGGGAGAAGGGGGAAGAAAACACATGCAAACAGCACGCAGCCCGCTTCGAAAGGGAGGGAGGGGAGAAAGGAAAACGTGGATGCGGTGGGAAGGGAGGAGGGGAAACGGGGCTCTCTCCATCCCCCGGGGGTGAACTCCAAAGAGGTCGGGAATAACTCACCGAATAGACGGGGTAGAGGAGGGTGCGGGTAGGCGAGGTGAAAGCACAATGGGGGTGAGAGGAATGGGGGATGGTTATGAAGTAATACACACACACACACACACAGAAGCCCCGGGTATTTTTCCACGCAACCTTAGAAAAGCCATCTCCCCTTACCGTACAGCTGCCGTACACGTACCTGGAGGGTGGCGGGATCCCGTACATACCCCACGTGGTAGGTTTCCTGGAAGGGGATCACCTGGCTGGACTGCTCCAGGAGGACCAAACCCGCCCGCAGGATGGGGATGACCTGCGTGCGTCGGCATGTATGTATACATGTACGTGTGTACATATATGTGTGTGTTTCAGGAAGGGGAGGAAGAAGGGGAGACACACCAGGGTGTGGGAGTTGCAAAGAGGGTTGAGGGAATGGCGGTGGTGTCGGTCGGCTCCCGAGCAGTGCCATTCTGTTGTGCACGTCACCTGCAGCCAACCCTCCACGCCTCTACCCGCCCCCTCCCCGGCGCCACCCCCCCCCACATACTCAAGACACACACACCAGCCTCTCCAACCCCCCGCAACACGCATGGCACAATCTTGCAGTTTCGCACCAAGGCAGTTTGGTTCCCCCTCACCCCCCTCCTTCCTCCCCCCTCCCCGCACCGCATCTCCCGCACCTCAGTATGGCCGCTGACCATGACGTTTCAGTTTCAGTCCCCCTCTCAACCCCCGTTCTCACCCCTCTCACCCCCCTCGCTTCCCCTCGCTCCCCCCTTCACCTTGACAGGCCTGGAGGGGTCAACCAGTGTCGCATCCGCCACCGCCCCCAGCGGCGTCTGCACCTGCTGCTCCATGGTCGGCAGGAACTCCCGTACGGCCTCGTAGATAAGCAGGCGACCCAGCTCGGAACACGCGGAACTGGGGAGACATACATACATACATACATACATACACAAATACATACATACATGCCCACGCGCGCGGGGGTACACGGAGGCGGGCGGCCGGTGTTTTGGGTTTGGGGCTCATATAATATTTCCTAGGCGACAGCGGTGCTGAGGGGTTGTTTCAGGCACCCCACCCACCTCCGCCCCCACCATTCCCTGACTCGACACCCCCGCGGACAGCATAGAGCCCTCTAGTGCGTCCATCTGCTACTTCTGCTGCTGCTGCTGCTACTGCTGCTGCTGCTGCTGCTCACACCTTCGTACCGCTCTTCGCCTTGCCCCTCCCCTCCTGGGGCGGGCCGGAGCGGGGATCCCAAACCCCCGTGGGGAGAAATTGTAAATTCACACACGGCTCGGATGTGCGTGTGTATGAATCTAGCCTTCTAAACGGCGTCCCCCTCCTCCGCGACCCTTCCACAAATTCCCTGTCGTGCTACTGCCAGTAGGTAGACATACACGGACATACAGACAGACATGGACACAGCTACACACCGGAACATGGGCGAGGGGGTGTACTCGGACCGCAGAATGGCCAGCCAGTGCTTGATGAGCGGGTGGGGAGGGGAGTACACCTAGGACGAGAGGATGGGGGGCCCGGGCGAGAGGGTGGGTAGGTGGGTTGAGGCCGGGGGATATACGCGTGTGTGTGTGTGTGTATTGGCATGTGTGTATACTCAATCTGTGAATGAAAATGGATGATGCATAGTGATGCCCTCGCGAGATTGTTATTGTTACATTGGTTTTTATGACGTCCATTTTTCCCCCGGTATGTTCTTCGGAGGCAAGGAGTTGGGAGGCGAGTACGGAAAGGGAGAAGGTCAGAGCAGTGGCGGCGGTTCCCGGCCGTACGGCAGCGGCAGCTGTGGCGGGAGGTGGCTGGGGCTTATTTTGGGGCAGCAAGGGAAAACGGAGGGGGGGAGCCACCGGGCGGGCAGGCTGATCGAATGGTCCGGCTGATTGAATGTGGGCACTCCAGCAGAGAAGAGGTCCAGGGAGGGGTGTGCAGAGGTAGTGGCGGCCACGTGGGCTTCGGCGAGCTGGAAAAGGGGATGTCTGTTGAGATGTAACAGACAAGCTATGCTGTGCTGTGCGGTGCAGTGCGGAGCCAAGGCAGTCCACAAAAGGGGAAAAGGAATGTAACAGTTCTTAAAGAGTGCTGCCCCAAAGCTGGTGCCCACCGGAAGTTATTCCGCTAAAAAAGGTGTGGCATAGCGCTCGGTACCCGCGATGCGCGGTCCTGTGCAGTTGAGCGGAAATGCACCCTTCCCCCAAGCACCAGCTCCAGGAATATCCAAAACGTTGATTAGCTTTGGGCATGGCAACGCAGTTTGTAGCAAATGTTCCGCGCCAGTGGGAAACGATTCCATGCCCGGGGTGCAGTCGGCTCGCACTAAGTGGGTAAACTTGATTAAATACCAACTCGGTACACGAATTACTGCCGTTAAGCCGTACCAGCATTTGCTGTGGAGCTTTCGGCTTGGGTTTGGGCGTCGCGGCGTCGGTTGTGGCCCGCACGGTCATTATGCGCTTGATGCCACGCTTTGGCGCCACTCCGCGTCCAGACACTCTGCATAGTGATCGCTGCACAACGAGGCCGTGCATCTTTACCCTACTGAAGGTAAAATTTCGTATGATTGTGCAATTCCCGCGCGACAGGGGGTCCGCAAATTACAGGAGTTAGTCGCCTAACGATTTGGTCAGGTCTTCTGTGCTAGCCAACATACGTCAGGGTCCTATAGGGGTCGACAGGACACGGTTAGAGCTGTCGTCCGTACAGTATTCCGCTGAATGCATTTTGGTTTGGCACACACTTGCGTTAGCGCTGATGACTTATTGATTGGTTGCTTATTTTCATCGCTAAAAAATAAAGCTGAAGCTGATATGACTGGGAGAGCTGGGCTTATTGAAGGGATATCCATAAAAGTATAGCATGATCTAAGCGTCACGGTGTCGCATGTTAACCAAGAAAATATTCGGATAGGAATGCTGCCGCGGACGAGCCGTATGTCAGGGTTGGTCCTCGCGCTGGTGGCGCTTTGTGCAGGAGTTGTGACTGCAAGCGCCAGCCTAAAAACCTTTGCCGGTATTTGGCCTCAGCCTCGGAGTCAGGTAGATCGGTGGTGGCATGATTAGTTGGCCTATGCATGACTACCCCTCCGGGAGGCATGTCGGGAGAGTGGGGACTTTTTTGAAAGACTGCCGACCCCAGTTTGCTGACTCTACTCTGCTCAAAGATTAATGTTTATGCGCTCATTTCAGGTACTGACCGGCGAATTTGTCCGCTTGGACCTTGAACACATCTCCGTAACTTGCCTTCCAGCGTCCTGTGGCGACGTTCTACGTCGGGCAGCATACAGGTACACCAATAATTACAAAATCAATGTTGCCCATAAGCGTAACAAATCTGCAATTCACTTATTACACCTATCCTGCCACCAAACTAAACAGTACAACATTGTACGGATTATTTTGATGACGGTTTTTCCTCATAACAACCTCCGCTCTTTAAGTCAAAGTCCGCCCCCGCCACCCAAAGACCTCCGACACGTCCTCCCGGGTGCAGGTTCTCTCACAACGCGGCACGCAGCGACTACCGCCTACAAGGCAGCCGTGAAGCCGCCGTCTCTGGCGCGTGGACGGCATCAAGGGAGTCGGCAGTACGGACGGTGCGTGCGCCGCACCACGGCCACCAAGCCACCCCCCGTCCTCAAACACGAACAGAACAGCCGCTTCCACCGAAACCCACATCAAGCCACATTCGTAACATCGTCGCCACACACGTTGAATTCAAATCGTCGCACCACACCACACCATACCACACCACACCACACCACACCATACCACACCACACCACACCACATCTTCGAAGCAGGACAGGAAGCAGAACATCCTGCCATGGGAAAGCGATATACCGGGGGTCTCGTGTTGGCCCAGGGCAGTTGTACGGCACCGTGCTGCTTTCTGCGGCGTAGTAGCTGCTGCTGGCAAAGGAAACATCCAGTCCTCTCGGCCTCTGTCCCCAATAATAATAATGGTTTCACCTCCTGTGTCAGTCAGTCAGCTAGACAGCCCACAGCCGCGCTGCAAGCGCCCACCGGAGGAAGATCAAGGGTGGATAGATAAATATGGATGGATGGATGGATGGATGGATGGATGGATGTGTGGATTAGCCAGCCATCTTCGGTTCCCGTGGGAAACATAAACCCATGAAGTCGACCACAGCCGCTCGGTGCTTCGGCGGTACGGCAGAGAATTCCGTCTCCCCCTGCACCTACCCGCCTATCCATCCACCCGCCCGCCCGCCCACCAGCACACCCGCCCTAACGTGCGCGTCACGTTTTTACATGGTCTCCATATTTCCCCTGCTGGTCCTCCTCGTTGCCTTGTTTTTGCCAGGGTCAGTCCCCGACCTCTGTTTTTGCCAGGGTCAGTCCCCGACTCCTAGTTCCCCCGGTCCCAAGGTGGGGCTTGGGGCCTGAGTTTGTGCTGCTTGGTGGTTTTCCTCGGCTCCCCATCCCCACTGACGCCGCTGTCCGTGTCCGTGCCTCTAACCCCCGCTCCCGCCGCCGCCCTCCCCCGCCCTCCTCCACACACACCCCCCAGATTGTGCTGCAAGTAGACAATCAGGATGCTCAGTTGGGCCCTGCGATGGACGAGTCGTACCAGATCCAGGTACGGATTGCCCAGCACCGCAATCACCTCGTACTCCGGGGGGAGGAGCCAGGAGAGATAGAAGAGGTACAGACTTACATGCATACGTCCCCGGAGACGGGAGGTGCTGCGGAGTGGTTGCATCGTGTGTTGGCAGCGTGAATCCGAGCCGGCCGGACATAAGACTAGCCGTGACTTGTGCCGTGTGTGCTCCCGAGCCTTGCGCTTTGTTTCGGCTTGGGTCCCCGGCCTTCGCGGCCCCACAGTGTTATCTAAGTCACATACATACATAAATATATACATTCAAAAATGCACACATACATACATGCATATACCGGGCAATTTACTGTTGAACTTGCTACATGCGCCGTTATGTGCGTGTCGGCCGCCCTTCGCCACCACATGACCTGGTCAGTGTCCCTCCTGAGGCTGTTAATTAGTGCCCCTCCCTACACATATCTATGATCACGGTTAATTCTCGTTACGAGCGCAACCCCCTTCCCTCCCTCACTTTCCCTCCCCCTTTTCCAAACTGCTCCATTCGCAAGTAGTTCGCCTTACCCCCCCTTTTTCCTGTCATATTGGGTCTTGTGTCTGGTCCCATCCGGTCCCGGGCTGGACTGGTCTGGGCTGGACTGGTCTGGGTTGTGTTGTGTTGTGTTCCCATCAGGTCCCGGGCAGGGGCTCCCGGGGCACTCGGGGCGAGGTGCTCATTCAGGCAGCAACGCAGGTAGGGGACGTAGTGGTGCTGGTAGGAGGGGGCAGGGAGGGAAGAGGAGGAAAGGAAGGGAGGGGGCGGGGGGGAGGGGAGGGAGGGGAGGGAGGGGAGGGAGGGGGCAGGGAGGGAAGAGGAAAGGAGGGGGGGTGGGAGGCGCCGTCGGGGGAAGGCGGAAGGTGTGGTGGTGGGGCAGGAGAAGAAGAAGCAGGCGGTAACGTCGTGGTGCATGAGGGGCGCGAGGGGCGGTTAAATGGCCGTTGTGATGGTGGAGGTGGGGGTCGGGAATGTGGCCCGTGTGCGCTATGTGGGAGAAGAAGTTGCAGCATGCAGCATCATGCACGTGGGGTCATGAATGTCGTCATGGAATACGTGTGTGGGGTTTCGTGCGCGCAGGTGGGTGCCGTACATGCCTTGGAGACCCTGGCGCAGCTGGTGGTGTCGTACGACCACGTGAAGCAGCAGCAGCCGCAGCAGCAGCTGGAGGGGCCGGGGCCGGTGGGGAGCAGCGGTAGCGGCGGAGTAGCTGCTGCTGCTGCTGCCGGTGCATCGCAGTTGTGGCTGCTAGCTGGCAACATCAGCGACTGGCCTCGTTTCACACACCGGTGGGGGCCCCAACCCCCCTCCTCCCCCCTCCTCCCCTCCACTCTCCGGGGGAAGATTTTATCGCTGACGATAAAATCCGGACTTGCACAGCGAGGGAGGCCCCCGCACAGACCCCCACCCTATCGCTTCCTGCATATACCCCCATCCCCACCTCCTCCCCCACTTCCTCCGCATTCTCCTGGTTCGGCTAGAGGCTGCCTCCCAACATATTCCTACGTATTTATATGTATATATATATGATACATATAGTTATTGTCAATAAGTCGAGTACGCACGTAGCGTGTGTCGTCCTATACCCGCCACACCGCACACACTCGGCATGCGGTCTCACCCCACTCACCCCAGCAACCTGGGTCTCCTCTCTTCGTCTCCCACCCCTCACCTTTCGGGGGTTCATGGCGGCTCTGTTGGCAACTATCGACATGTGTGTTTTTCTCGACTTTGTTTATCCTGGCAGATTCCTATTCATTTTTACACAACGTACATTATATGCGGTATTTCCCTTTTTTGCTCCTTTTGCGCCCTCCCCCCTGCTGTTGTTGTTGTTGTCAGCGGCCTGCTTGTGGACACCGCGCGCCACTTCCTGCCGCTCTCCGTCCTGCACACCACTCTGGACGCCATGGCCGCCAACAAGCTCAACGTGCTGCACTGGCACGCCACAGACGACCAGTCCTTCCCTATGGAGGCGCTGGTGGCTTCGGAGGGCGGCGCCGTTTCGGACCTGGCGACCCGCGGGTCGTTTGGGGATCGGATGTTGTACTCCAGGGAGGAAGTGGCGGGGTGAGTGGGACTACGAAGTGGGGTGGGTTGGAACCGCCCCATATCCCCTAGGTCCGCCCCGAGATCCGTTCCTGCAGGGAAAACAGGGGGAGGGAGAGCTCGAACGAAGTGGGGTGGGCTGGGGGGGGGGAAAGACGAACCACGAACGAGTGAAGCTGCTGCCAGGGCAAGAGTGTACCAGACGTAGAACTGACCAAAAGGCGTTCTTGAAGGGGTGGGCTGGGGTGGGGAATGGGATTGGGATTGGGATTGGGAGGGGAAGAGCAAGCGAAGACGTGGAAGAGATTCGGCTGCCTCTGCGTCTGTCCTCTAAAAGTAATTGCCTGTTTTCTTTGTCTGTATGTCTGTCTGACTGACCTCTCTCGCTCTTTTTCTGTGGGCGGGGCGCCACCACTACACGCACCAGCTAGGCAAGTACGACAAAAGGCCGTCACCCCCCATCTACTTTGTCCTCAAACCCTCCGCCGGGCACTTGATTTTCCTTGCGAGCTTCTTGCGTGACGCGATTTC